GGCCGCGATTGCAAAAGTAAGGTTCAATCGCACGATAGCCGCGGCCGTGATGCAACCGACCTAGAAGGATCAGTTTCACCGAGAGGGGTCAGTTAGTCAGGTTGGAAGGTTGCAACCTAACTGGACCCGATCGTCAAGGCCCTGACCTATCGGCTCGAGCAACCCTAGCCGGTAGGATCTATCGCGAACTACGGCTCTGACGATCAACCGAAGACCGAGCTATCGGCGCAGGCCCGATAGCTCGAAGAGCGTTCTGATCCTATCAAACGCACAAGCTGAAGGAAGGTCACAACCTCGGTCTAACGGATATGAAGATCCCTAACTAATTATATGCCAACGGGATAATTGACGGACCTTACAAGTCCGAGACTGGGCTGCTCGCATGACGATACGATCAAGGGATTCCTTGGGATATAAGGGTCAACGGATCCCTCCTGTAATTACTAGTTAGAAGCAACAGTCTCAATATGTCCCTTTTATCTGTATAACTGGAAGCTGTTAGGTAGCGACACCAACAGTGTCAGATCACGTGTTTCCTGATCTTGGGATATACTTGTTTATGGCGAAACCAATAAAAAGAAAATACCCGCTAGATATATAGATTATATTGCCATGATATATTAACTAGCAGCACCAATTAATCGGATGCTCTGGTCGACAAGACCGAGGTCGCATTTCCCGATGCAGAAATCGTGATCGGGAACGAGAATCCGATCTCGATTCTCCGCGTTCTCACTCCCGGACCGTGGATCCCGAATCGCAGATCGCCACTCCACCATCATAATTGATATACGTTATTATATTTCCCTTTTGAACAGTTCTCATTATTTCTTGGTCTCTACAATACGAACCGTATGATAAAACGTGTCCCGCTTTTCGCTTGCTAAAGTTGAAACCATACTCCTCCTCCAGGTCACTATGCCGTCGGAAAAGCCCAATGTCCCCAAGCGACTCCAGGTTGGAGTTGTTGGAATTGGTCGAATGGGGCGACGCCACGCAATGAACATCCTCCATGAGGTCCCACGGGCAACACTTCTTTGTGCTTGCTCCCCTGCAGAGGCGGACTTCGTGTGGGCGGATGAGCATCTCGTACCGCACGGGGTTCATGTAGTTCCCACATTTGAGGAGATGATTGAAACGCCGGGACTGGAGGCGATCATCATTGCTTCGGCTACTCATCTACATACCTCGCAAACAATGGCAGCACGGAAAAAGGCTTACATGTGCTCTGCGAGAAGCCAGTCTGCCAATCTCTGGACGAGGTCAGTAGCGAACCTTTAACCCTAACTCATACATATGGCTAATTTTAGAGTAGCTCGTCGCCCTGGTTGACAAGGTCGAAGCCAATCCCCAGGCGAAGCTGATGGTTGGGTTTGTACGCCGATTCAACACCAATTATCAGCAGGCAATGGAGCAAATCAGTGGGAACAAGATCGGACGACCCGTCGTGATTCGTTCGCAGGGTTGTGAGCCTCTAGATGAGAGCGATTACTACAAGCAATATCTCCGCGATTCGGGCGGCATATTTGTAGATAGCATCATCCACGACATAGATCTCTCCCTGTTCTTCTTTGGGGAGGACTCTAGACCAAAGTCGGTCACCGCTATTGGTGTCGCTGCCGTCCATCAAGAAATCGAGGCACACGGCGATGCTGATAACGGCGTGGGTATTTGCGAGTTCAGGGACGGCAAGATTGCCTTCTTCTATAACTCGAGGACCACAGCGCATGGATACGATAATGCGACAAAAATCTTTGGAACACGGGGAAAACTGTCTATAAACCTGATTCCTCGACATAATGCCCTCGAGCTGTGCGACAAGGATGGCTTCGTCAAGACCTTTGCCCACCCGGGCTGGTATGATCGCTACGCTTCTGCCTTTGTTGGCGAGGCGAAGGCATGGGTAGATGCTTTGCTTGATGGAAAGCCTGTTCCAGTTCCCTTGCGATCTTCATTGACATCTCTCAAAATAACTACTGCGCTCCAGCTGAGCTTGAGGACGGACCAGAAAATATTTTTCAACAAGCAGGGTGTTCAGTTGGATCATCAACCATCGGTAATTTGACATTCTCGTTGTATATATATCAATTAGATGTATATATATCAAATAAATCAATTAAAATGAAACAATGTTTAGCATCTGCAAGTTAGGGTTGGATATAAGATAAAGAATAGGAGTCCTATTTTCTACTCTTAATGCTAGCATTTTCAGACAATATAATGATAAGTGTCCAGTGCAACTATTATAAAGTTCTCAGTTCTCAACAGATACTCGTGAACTGAGCATTGTAGACCAAATGAGTAATATTTTCATTTTGACAGGCGCTTGTTTAAGATGGTTGTTTACTTGAATTTGCTATGGCAGACAGGCATTATTTGCAGCATACTAACTCCGTGGTGATTCGGAATGAATTAAGGCAACACCGTCAGGCATGTATTGTTCTATTGGCATTTGACTATGCGCCATGACTAGCCAGCTGCATACATGAGAAACAACACCGTGATAAACTTAAACAGAACACAATCGATAAGATTTCAGAGAAGATGCATTGTGAACGCAGTTCTCGTCGAGAGCTTATTCGTTAATAGAACAGGGCCCCGGCAGAGAGGCCCAGAACACATGGAATGAACCTCGAATCGGACTTGCGACGTTGACTCGACGTCAACTCCGGGAGGTCCATCAGTTAGAACCATGCTTGGAATCCCCTTTGGGAACATGCATGACAGACGGAAGAGCTTCGCTCGTGGCTTTCTCGTTGTCAGTAACAACGCCAGTTCCTTCAATGCTTTTGATGGGTGCGCTCCGGTCGAAGATGCTGTCGATCTGCTCCAGGCTCAACCGCGCAGTCTCCACGTAAAAGACCTTGCAAATAATTGCAAAGGCAGTGTTGAGAACAGCATAGATGAGGTACTATCTCCAGTTGAGGTTCCTGATTCCCACAGGCGTCACTAGAACAACCGCGTAGTTGTTGATCCAATTTGTGGCCGTTGCGACACCTGCGCCAGCAATTCTCATGCGTTGTGTGTTGACTTCAGCTGGGTACATCCAGGGGACGGCGATCCAGGTCAAGGCAAAAACGGTGCTATATCCAAAGACAAAGGCAACTGCAACCGCCTCCCATCTGCTGCCACCCAGACTAAGCCCGATGCTGATGAAGCAGAAGCAGATTGACTGCCCCACGGCGCCCCAGACCATGAGCTTCTTCCTTCCCACCCCTTCGATCCACAAGGCACCGAGGACGGTAGAAACGGTCATGTCCATGGCGTTGCATAAAGACAAGATGAGAGACAGGTTACGCCCAACACCTAGTGAGGCGAAAACAACAGGCAGGTAATAGAAGAGCGCGTTTATACCACTCCATTGCTGCATGAGCTGGGTGCCTGCGCTAAGAATGATTTGGCGTGTTGTCTGAAGCGAGTCGCTTTTCAACAGGGTTCCTGATATTGATCTCGCTCATAGATACTTCATGTTGTACGCTCGCTCGGATCTCTTCGTGTACGGCTCGGTTCTCGTCCTCGGTCTGGGAGTTTCCGCCCAGCCTCTGTATGACTTCGAGCGCCTCCTCATTGCGTTCCTTCATGATCAGCCAGCGCGGCGAGCCGGGGAAAAATGGGACAAAGGCCATGGCCAGGATCGCCCAGAAACATTGGAAGGCCAATGGAAATCTCCAAGAGTCGCTTGGAAGCGATGAATGTCATGCCGTAGTTGATCCACTGAGAGGAGACGTTACCGAACTGGTTGAGCGCAAGCTGAAGGACCATCACTCGCCCACACCACTTTGCAGGTGCCGTTTCCGACTGCCAAACTGGGATGGACGTAGTATTCATGCCATTGCCAATGCCGGCAACGAATCTGCCGATGATCATCTACGCCGCATGGTGGATTGTGTCGCGCGGACATGTGAGGAATCTGACCTCAAAGACAGCGTTCTTCGTAACATCAGTCAATGGGCGTCAGAGTTGAACGAATTGGTCAATGGGACGGATCCATCAACGATCAAATCCATACCAATTCGCACGATGCCCAACCTTGCCCCATGGGAGCCAGGCAACGTCACCCTGATCGGCGATGCCATCCATAACATGACCCCTATGGCTGGTATAGGCACAAACACCGCTCTCCGAGATGCCGAGGTTCTGACGCGATACCTTATTGACATCGCGGCTGGAAGACTTGGTCTAACTGAGGGTGTGGGGATTTATGAATCTACAATGAGAAGATATGCGAATGAAGCGCTCAAGTTGTCGACGCGCAACGCGATTAATGCCTGTGAGGGAGGAATGGCGCAGCGTTTCTTGTTCCGCAATTTTCTTCGAGCTGCTCATTCCTTTCCGGTTATCATGCGAGCTACTATCGGACGTCAAGTCGAATGATATATGATAGTGAGGGTTTAATTCCTTTGTGCCCTACACCATTGATCACTAAACAACGCCGTTTCTCCCAACGTCGCAAGCACGTCTTATTTTTGGAAAATGAGCTAATACCTAGGAGCAATTTGGATCTTACAGTGATTTAGGGTGTATTTTGAGAGTTTCAAATGCCTAGTTAAGAAGCTGGAACAGATCCAGTCCATTAGCATCCCAATATCAAAATAAATTCAGGACCTGCGTTCCGGTCACACTCTATGCAGATCATCAAGCTTCGAGATGTCAGTTACTAGATTACCCCAACGATTACCCCAACTATCATCCAGCTTGTTGAGGAGCTGTTTTGCCTTGACGGTTGGTCAAAACTTCACAGGTAAACTAGTGTGTTTATTATTCCTACTCGAGCTAATAAATTCTTATCATGCCCAATGCCTGAATAAGCTCGCCGATATGTCATGTCAGATTTATCGGTACGTCAATATGCAGTTAGGACTTGCTAATCAACCCGTTCAATTCTGTTCCCTACTTAAAGCAAGAAGAGTAATCTCTCGCCCTTGGGTTGCTTCGGTCTGCTGCTACGGAAGTATACATGTAGGCAGTGACAAATCATGATCATAATTACACTGTAAAAGCGTCATCGAATCATATTCATGACACGTAGCGGGCGCCAACCTGTCATGCGACCTGGATCACCTCCACCACTCTATTAGATAGTATAATAATCCCTGCTGCACGGTTAGCATTAGAAGTTTCCACTATCTTATTATCTCGCTGTGGTTGATGCTTCATCCTGGATGAGTAAATCCGCCTCACCAGTCTGATATCCATCTTTCGTTCGCCTCTGAATATATCAAATGTATCCCAAGTCAAATCTATGGCTCTTTGTTTCATTGTCGATGAATTGATAAACTATTGGGTAGCACTTGATCTGCACTCGTTTGTTCGTGCATTATTAGCAATATACCCTGCAATGTAGATCCCGTTATCTTTGTAGCAAATCACACCGCCCTTACAGCGCTCTAAGTGTCTACATTGTCAGAGAATGACGCCTTGCTTGCGTCGTCGACTAGTCATAGTGAATTACCATTATTCATACCATTACTCCACAAGCAATATTATTCGCTACCTAAGGTGACAGACAAGCACCAGTATGCATACATGAAGGGTGTGATAATGTGATAAGTTAGCTTATTGGGAAACAGGACTTTGCACCTCTCAATAATTGAGTGGCATGGCATGTATTTGATTTTATTGGGTACTCAGGAGTGCTTTGCCGCCGGCCGCAATTACATCATTAGATCGAGATATCTCAAGCTCCAGCGTAGCATTCAAGTGCGGAGGAGAACCTGACGCTTCTTGGCGAAACGCGGTAGACAACCATTGGGCGCTTCGTGCATTCGGCATTTGAGCTGCCACCGAGCATCCTTACAGCGTTTCATCAGCCCGAACATGTAGGTCTTGCTAGATATAAAGACTGAGTTGGCCCATCGCAGAACAGAGAGAGCAGCCTGAACTACAGTTCTCCTGCCGGGTAACTATTATCGGATCGCCATGGACTTCATCTATCCCCGTAACGACGCCCTTAAGGTCAACCCTCCGGGAGGCCAATCGCACCTCACTGATGGAGGCTCCAGTTGGCTCTTCGCCGTCACGGCTCTCTTTACCGTCAGCTTTGTGCGTTATCCAATAAATATTCTCGACCCTTCGTACCAAAGAACCCAGCTAATGTTTGATACAATTTCTCTAGCTTGTTTATTTCGCACTGAGCTTCAGGCCGTTCCACGGAGAGAAGGTCTTCCATTATCTCTTCACAATCGCCCTGCTTGTCGGCGCGATTTCTTACTTCGCTATGGGATCGGGACTCGCCTACTCAGTTATCCCCACGGAGCGCTATATGAGAGATGCCGCGACGTACCAGGTCTTCTTCGCCAAATACATCTTTTGGGTTGTCTCATTTCCAGTAATCATTGTAGCGATTGGTCTCGTCAGCGGCGTGAGCTGGGCCACTATCTTCTTTAATATATTCCTCTCCTGGATCTGGTACGTTAAGTCTTGGAGTATAGCTATATCAGTTTTCTAATAATCATTTCTAGGGTCGTCTCATACCTTTGCTCGGCCTACACTGCTACACGGTACAAATGGGGATTCTATAGCTTTGGCACCGTTGCCTACGTGCTACTCGCAGTCCAAACAATGTGGACGAGCCGCCCCCCGGCATACCGCTTGGGCATAGGCCGCGATCATACTGGGCTCTCGGGGTTTGTGAACTTGCTTTGGTTCTTGTATCCCATTGCGTTCGCTATCTCGGATGGCGGCAACGTGATTGGCGTCACACAGAGCCTCATTTTCTTCGGCATTCTCGATCTGCTCCTCGTGGGAGGCACCGCCTTCATCTTTCTCTTCCTCGCCCGCAGGTGGGATTATGGTCGGATGAACCTGCACTTCACCCAGTATGGTCGTGTTGGCTCCCAAACGGACGCCGTGTATCCTGAGAAGGCCGGCGTCCGCACAACTACGCAAGCAGGTACAACCGCACCAGCGGGCACCACTACAGCCACCCCAGCTACTGCGGCAGTCTAAACCCTCCGCCTAGCATGCTGGAAAATTGGTTGGTGAAGAATGGCTCATACTTTGTAAGAGGGTATATGAAGCTTGGATTGGCATTAAATGTCGAGTGTGAGGTTGGGCGTGAGGTTGTAGTTAATCCGGTGCAGGTCAAGACAGGGTTGGGCATGACAGGGTCGATGCCATTGATAATGATAAGAAGCGTGAACAGTGCTTGAAGATGGTTCAATCAAAATTTAATAATTACCACCCGATGGAATAGTCGATATCATCAGAAGCTATTATAGTCTTGTTTTTCTTCTACCACTAGCCATAAAGAATATTGTGTCGAAGAAACACTGGCTCTTGGAAATCTTTTCTATAATTCCGGAACTAAAAGCAGGGACATCAAATCACTACCTTTTGGGCACTTGGCAACAGTGGCCTGGGTTGGTATGACTGAGAGAATGGCTCTGATTTTGTCGGCTGTTGATAATATGCAACTTATGTTCTGGGGTGCCCTAGCTGCTGTCCTCATCGATCGTGTCGGCCGAAGAAGACTCCTGATGATGGGAGTTATGGTCAGCTCTGTCTGCTTTGCCTTGGTAGCAGTCGGCCTGCGCTATAGCGGCCAAGATAGCCCCAACCGGAACCAGAGCATGTCGATCATGGCCGTCGCCTTCATCTTTATCTACTATGTCTTTTATGGCATGTCGCTGCTCTCAATACCTTTTATGTACCCTGCTGAGATTAACTCCCAGAGGATGCGTAATACGGGGACATCTTTCGCCACTACCATCAACTGGACCTGCATCTACCTGGTCGTCGTTGTCACCCCGACGGCTATTGATTCCATTGGATGGAAGTACTATCTTGTTTATGCTGTCACTAACTTCTGTTTCATCTCTATTGTCTGGCGCTGGTATATCGAGACTGCAAATATGCCCCTGGAACAGGTCGACACTTTGTTCCGCATCAAGCATGTAAGCGGTTGGTTTGGGACGAACATCGCCGGCTTGACTGGCCTCTTCTCGTGCTGGTTGAAGATCCCCAGAAATCATAAGGCTTGTTTCTAGAAATGTAGCGAAGGATTCGCATTGCAAATCGCCACGGAAGAGAAGAGCTACCATATCAATCTTGACATCTTTCCGTGATTGATAGGGGGTGGATTTAATGCTATAATAGTCTGTTGAAATTATTCGCCAAATTGGTCATTCACCAGCAAGTACTCTAGATAGCCTAGGATACAGGCCAGGGTCAATGACTTGTTCCTTGCTGGCGGAGGCGGAGGTCGTCGGCACGTGACGGCTAGACTGAACTGTGGGCTGGGATAGGTTTGTGATGTAGAGAACAACCCATGTTCCGGAGTGCGTCTTATACGATAAGTCATTCTCCCGATGATGTCAAGGGCTTCATGACGTTGTGCCTCGCTAGTTCTGGCTCGGCTATGCAAAACTTCGGTTATATACATGCTACCTGCGGATGATGGGGCTCCTCACAGAACGGCTATGTTCAACGCCTCGTGCTTTAAAGCCAAGCCAATTAACGCTGACAGGGGATTTATTGTAATTCCGGACCTTTGGCAGGAGAGAGTTGATAAATGCGTAGAGAGTGGGTTCGTCCGTGTGCTGTGCCCAACTTGAACTGGACAACTGAACATTGCTGACGGTGCCTCAAGGTGAGTTGGAAGCAAGAATCAAGCCCGACGGCGTTAATAAATATCGTTCCCAAGTATATGTTATGACCGTGAACGATACGTCTCTTCCCTTGAGCCTCTAACGCAACTATGATCGGAATTGCCACCCTCTCCCTCTACTAGTAGAAGAAGCGTATTGAGGTCATACATGATGTTCCAAATTTATCCAAACTGTGTTTCCAGCCTAGTTTCCACTTCTTTTCCAATATATATGGTGGACCTTGACCTTCTCATAGTTAAAAAGGAATACCTGTGGGACTAAACCTTGACATCATCCTTTGTCGACTCAACATGGTCAGACAGGGCACCTTGAACCTTGACATCCTCAATGACCGGTATCTCCTCGAGGGCGAGCTGTCGGGCCTCCTTCCAGCTAACACCAGCACCGCCTTCATGGTGGTGTTGTGCAAGTTGGTAAAGGGGGACGAGCCTTGAGACAAGTCCGATAATTCTCGGCTTTGTCTCAGGACGACAATCTTGGCAATGTTTAGGATCAGAAGATGACATACATCCAACCACCCTGCGTTCTTTGCTGTGCCGCTGGGTTGACTGCTTGCGGCTTCGGATAGCGAATCTCTATGATCTCTAAAGTCCAGTGGCTTAGGGATCATCATAACCAAATACCCAGTTATATTTCCCCAAGTATGTAATCGAGCCAGCAGACCTGCCCACGAAACTTGCTGTTGGTGTGGGAATATGAGACATTGGCGTAGCACAAGACATTTTATGATGCCTACATGCTCCAGGCTGAAATCCGCATTGAAATGACGAGCAAATGCCCCTATGATAAGGACAGCCGTGCCCTCTGCAAACTGCAATTTCAGGGCCAACTCAACTCTCCGATCCAATAACTCGAGGCAAAATGAGAGCACCTCTCCTCCATACCTGTGCAGCTTTTGCAATGTCTTTGCTACCATTTGTTTCAGCCGCTGAACCTCGCACAGCAGATGCTAAACAAGTGATACTTGGTGACTTCGATGCAATTTACAACCTCACACAACAAGCCATGGACTTCCAGAAGTATGGCTACGATCGCTTTCGCGCCAATGGGGTGAGTCGCTCAGAATGGGGTAATCGCGTAATAATTAACAACCTGTCTAGGACTGCGTCAAAACGCTCATTGATTTGGGAAAGAAGGTCGTCCAGATCAACAAGGCCAAACCCCCAGTCGCGCCCCTCAATGACAATGACCAGAAAGAAGTCTGCGATACCTTCAGTGGCCGGGTAAGCTGAGACAAACAGCTTCACATTATCTACCTGAATTCCTAACGCGCTTTTCACTATGACAGCGATACTCCATTCACCAGGGCAGGTTGATGAGCACCCTCCAAGAGGGGATATTCCAGGGGACAAAATCCAGCTTTGCCGGCTATTATGGCGCTCTGGTTCGAAAGTTTATTCCAATATTCTCGGAGTTTGAGGATTGGGTCATTAAGACTATTCCCAATTACAAGGTCAGAGCTTTGACTGATAAAGACGTTCTTCTTGCTTTTCGGAAGGACGCCGCGGCCACTATTGAACAGAGTCGAGGCTACAACAAGGCGCAAGGAGACCAAATTCCCGATTTTGGATGAGGTAGAGAAAGGTGCTTTGCCTCCCGATAAGTGTTAGCTCAACACTGATGCATACTGAGATTTGGACACCCGATAAATACTGCATTAAGGGTGTCATGTTAATTGTACTCGAATAATGCCAGCATATTCGCCCGGGTATGTGGCGTGTTAAGCTCGAGTCTGAGAAACCTTGACGCAGTTGGGCAGCTACAGGGCCATCAGTTGGAGCTTGCACAATCACAATTTTTATCAATGTTGTTATTATTAATCTCTTGAAGTTAAGACCATTAAATCAAATTAGCCATTGCATTGGCGATGAAGCTAAATTCAGGGAACATTTAAAGGGAATATTATGGTGGTTGTATTAGCATTAATTGCTCTAACAGATGCAATGTATCTCTGGGCTTTTATCACTGTAAGGGAAATATTACTATATCAAATAATCGTTATAGGCCAGGTGTAATGTATTACGTGTATATGGTAAACATGTCTTGCATTACGTAGGTTAGAATTACCCGCGGACAAGAACAACAACATCCACCAATAGGGCAGAACAATTTGTAACTTGCCAAACCCAACTACCATGCCCAAGCTGTTTGGTGCCATGGACGACATCGCCAAAGTGGCTCGTGCTGGAGCCTACAGCACTTTGTGGCTCGGCCGATTTGCCAAGCGATACTACAACAGCGCCGTGAATGGCACATGTCTTCTTTGCAACAATCTCAAGCCGGATGGCCATGAGAACACCACCATCTGGACACCCGAGGGAGACAATAAACCGACTACTAGCCTACCTGGGGGCGGCATCATCAAGTCGCCAGCATCCGGCAGGAATATCCTCGCCCTGACTCTGAAGGATCTGTCTACCACCAAATTACTCCAGTGTCGGGATATTGACCCCAAGACTGGTGTTCCTGTGAGGGATTGCCCATACTGTCGGCTCCTCTGCGAGATATTTGATCACTTCTTCATCGACGAGTGGATGAGCTGGGTCACAGAAACCCGGAATGGGATGCCGATTAGCTTCGGCTTGATGATTCGGCAAGGCGCTCCTCTTGTTGTAACAACTATCGGATTCGTCCATGACAAGTATTTGAAGAATGCCCGCGCAGATGTCGAGTTGTATCTTGACTACTCTCCGCCTCCGCCGGCCATACCAGCCCTTCCGGCAATTGGCCCGGCCGGTATCAGACAAACCGACACTCGATCTCCAGCCTGTATGTCGTTCATCAAAGACAGCGTTGACCAATGTTATCGAGAGCATACACTTTGTCGCAACGAAGCTCGGGGCTTCAACCCTACGCGATTGCTCCATCTCGACGGCAAAGACACTCATCTACGTCTCTACGAAACCGCCGGATGGGAGCAGCCTGTTCGCTATGCAGCCTTTAGTCACTGTTGGGGTGGAAGTGATCCGGTAAAGCTGACAGCTGCTACCTTGGAAGGCTTCAAGGAGGGCATCGACGTTTCTGTATTGCCAAACACATTCAAAGATGCATTATCTGTATCGCAAGAGTTGCAGATTCCCTACGTTTGGATCGACTCTCTTTGCATCATCCAGGGCGACGAAGCGGACTGGGAGATAGAGGCAGCTCGTATGGAACAGGTCTATAGCAGCGCATACGTTGTCATCACCGCCGCCTCTTCCCCAAACCCAGAGACGGCCATTCTCGGACCTAGAGAAGCCGAGTGGCTCCCAAAAACGTTTGATTTGCCGGTCACTCCTGATGTCAATATCCCCATCGTTGCGCGAAAGCGCCATATCCTAGCGGCCCCCATGGAGCAAGGACAATGCGAACCGCCATTTGCCAATACGGGGACAGACCTCAAACGCATTGGGCCTCTCTACAATCGCGGTTGGTGCTTCCAGGAGGCTTATCTCGCATACCGGAATCTTCAATTCACCCCCGGCGCGATTGTATTTGAATGCAAGACTCACCGCAGGAGCGAGGACCAACTCCCGCCTTATCCATCCACCATCCCAAGTGCTCGAGAGTCTGTGGACCCTGCTGAGCAGTGGCACAGGATTGTAAAGTCCTTTACCTCGCGCCAGCTGACCTATGGCAGTGACAAGCTGCCCGCCATAGGGGGGGCAGCAAGGACCATGCCCCAGGCGCAAACTACGCAGTACGTGGCAGGCCTGTGGCATTCCACACTTCTATTTGATTTGATGTGGCATGTGATGCCATACATGGTATTGGCTGGCCAGGATCGTCAGGCGCTTTCCTACGACGATCACGACGGAGGTCCGCCAACGTGGTCCTGGGCCTCCATGAATTGGGGAGTGGTTTGGTCGCAGTTCCCCAGAACACAACTAGTAGCCGAGCTATTGGACTATAAGGTCACCGGCAGTCATCTGGACCCGTATGGCAAGGTAACAGGCGGTCTACTCACACTGCGCGGCCGGCTGAAGAGGTGCGAGTTGAGGTCAGACGGCGCCCTCACCCACGATGCCTTCTACATACAGGCTGATGGGACAAGGAGCGAACTGCAGCATTACCGCACCGATGGGCCATTGTCGTTTGAACATGAAGCTGGTCCATACGGCGCCCGGGTGAGAAGGGGTCGCCAGGGACCGTACTCGGGGAACTTGGAGACTACGGCGGTTGTCTTATTCATAACTAGCAACACGCTCTTGGCAAATGGTATGTGGAAGCAATATCAAGGTCTAGTGCTGGGCACCTCGCCACGCTCACCTGGTTGCTTGGAGCGTGTAGGCTTGATTTGGAGGCTGCCCACGCACTGGTACGATACTGCTGAGGAGGGTACAGTTCAAATAGTTTAAGATGGGGGTTTGAGGGTGTGAACTTATAATGATGATAAACTAGGAGGGAAAATAGAAAAGGTCCTATAGATGCTGCGATGCTGTGTAGCTGGACATTGCACCTTGTCGTTGAGCCTCTCTATCATACACTAAGGGTGAGCTCCGGATCCGCATCTATTGCCAGCATCTATCGCATTCGCTTTGTACACATTTGAAGAGAAATTCTGATCGATTTCGGTGGTCTAGATCTGATGTGCCATGTAGATGGATATACTTGTAAATATAGTGCGAAGTAATCATGAACCAGTGGATTCAAAGCCGGTTTAGATATATAGCACGGATAATGACGATGTTGCGACGCGAGAATGAGGCCAGCATTGTACAGAGGGCGTCGTAGATAGGGCAACCGTCCATCCGATGAGCAGCTGTTGGACTGTAGCATCACTGAAGCAATACAATCCACGGGCACGTAGAACCACGCCTGAGATGACTTTAGCAATCGAGCAGCAAAGCTGGGCAGGATACAGTTATCTTACAAGAAGATGAGTTACAGCGGTCCGAGGTCGCCAACTCAAGCGACACACTGACCCTGGTCTGAGGCCTAGACAGCGGTTGGGTCCCTATAATGTGCAATTTTCGCTTTATTACCTTCGGTGATGATTGCTGCTGAGGGACCGCTTTCTTCATCAACGCTCGAGGATATTTTATCGCTGTGAGCATCTGCAACATCAAATTCTTTAACTGCAAGCCAGGTTGGATAGACGGAAATGCCTGCAGTTTATTGTCAGCCCTCTGTTTTCGCAATAAGTAAAGTTAAATCAAAATTCGAGTTGGCGCACCCAGAAGAATCGTATTGACAGCTAGAGGAACTCTTCCGCCTTTCCATTCCTGTGAGTTGAGCCCATAGCTCACAGCTTGCGCAAAGCTCTCCTGACCTCGCAGAATACCGGAAAATCGACTCAGCTCTGAGATGTTATCCGTCTTCAGAGCTAGAAAGTAGTAGAGCCAATTCTGAAGCGCTTGACGAGCAAAGTCCCAAAGGAGGAGCACAAAGAAACCTTCAACGAACCCGGCATCCTCCCAGTCCCAGGCAGGTTGCGTCCTCGTGTATTTCTCCTGAATGACCCATCCATACACCCAGGCGACGACATGGCACACTACAACGTAATAAAATGCATATGTGACACGCTTCCTGACAGTCACTCGCTTGTAGTCGAGCCATGTGCTGATCAGTTGTGAGGAGAGGAGAGTGCCAAAGTTGCTCACAAAGCCGATAAGAGCGCGGGCCCGAACACCAAAATAGTAGGTCTGAAAGTTTCCCGAATACTGATTAAAGTAGGCTGCCCAGAATATTGGCAACAGCAGCAAAATGTCTCTCCTGTTGCTCGCGCTCCAGAGCGCTTTGAATTCGGCCTTGAAGCTGCTCTCTGCTTTGATTATGATCTTGGACCCGTCTGCTCGTTGGACCTTTTCAGGTGGCGAGAGGAGCAAGGCTACCGGAGCAGCAATACACTGGAGGGCGACGAAAACAAGGTATGTGGTGGCATCAACCTTTCCCTTCTTCTTGGCATTTACGTCGTGATTGAGAGCAAGCACAATAGCCCCTCCCACCAGCGGTCCTCCAGTGCGAAACCAAAGCCAGATATTCATATATCGCCCTCTCTTCGACGGCTCAGGATAGCCCAGGGCGACAGCTCCCTCACTCGCCCAGAACAGCCCGGCCGATATGCCACAGGTAACAGCACCAACGAGGACGAGCCATTCATTTCCATATCGATTGTTGGCATAGAGGCCGGCAGAGTAGACTGGGTAGCCGATCGCTCCCAGGAACAGAGTCCAGGCCAGTCCGATCCGATTGGCGATTGGGCCGCCAAAGAGGCAGAGAAATCCCATGAGCCCAAAGACTAAGGAATTGGCGGCATTGACAAGGTACGGGGATTGCGCTCCTCCTGCCCCCAGAGAGCTCATCGCATTCCAGAGACCCGGCGCGAGGAACCCCACGGCGCCTATCACGAAGGCGTTGAACAAGGTCGTTCGATACCAGGTTCGCTTCTGCGGGATCGAAAGGCTACTTGCATCATTGGGCAGCACCCCAGCAGCGTCTTCTCTATCATTGCTGGCCATTGTTGATGTTCCTCTTTCAGTTCAATCCAAGATGGTCAAGGAGCAGGCGATAATTAACCACGGCACAAGTTAGTTTAGAGCGGAAAGGTAACAGCTCCATGCCACAGTCGAGTAGCTTTATTATTTCTAACCCTTTCTAAATACTAAAATCGCATATTACCAGTGCCGTCTTGAGGCCATTTCTTCGCAAGATGACACCATCGTGGAGTGCAAAGAATCCCTGCAAATTATGGACCAAACCATGTTAATTCCAAATTGAATGAGTGCGGTTCGTGCTTCGAAGGCACCACATGGTGCTATTAGGTAGCATTGACGGCAAGATCATGCCGCTCACTGCCCTTTTAGTCGACACTAAAAGGCCGAAGCTCGCAAGAGACGGGAGTTCCGACCATTGGTTCGCTAACAGGAGGGATGTGTTCTCCCTGTTTCCTAACCTTGCAGTCCGAAGTTCTCCCCTGAACCACTAAGAGTGTCACGATGGTTATTCTTCGGACTATCGAGGGACGTCTATCACATCTATAATGTTGATGACCTTCGTGTAGGTACTAATAAATTTACTGCATGTCCGGCTCCCACAAATAAAAGCAGCCACATGCTCCGGAAAAAAAATTATAAAGTCCTCCCTCAATGTGTAATTCAGGTATGTGTCTCTTGGGTGTTCTTTATCTTACTGTATCGAGCAGCTATATCTTGTTGGATCTACTCCTGCTCCGTGAGGCAAATTCCATCTGCGCTGATCCATACACCCTACTAGGGCCTCTTCCATAGCCCCTTGCCGTCCAGTATGGCAGTTTCTCGCTGTAATGTGGTTCATGAAGATCGATTGCATTCTCGACGCCAAACAGTGTGTAGGCTATGCCTAGCTATGCCTAACTCTGTGGCTATGGGCAGGGACTTTTATGCTATTCCTTGCTGTTGAAGGAAGAGATATATTGGAGGGAGTCTTGACCTAATGTTAGAAGAAGGTACTGTTACTGCTCTATCATATATAAATAAATTTCATAATACCAATAATCTAGCGGCTAACAGCGTGTGCAGCCCACATGCGAGTAAATGCATGTGCATTAAACATTACGGTAGGTGCAGGCCCACGCTGTTTAGTATTTCCACGCTGTCCACATCATAAGCACATAAATAGGTTAAGTGCGGTCAGTCAGGTGACCGATTCACTGGATACAGATGGAGCAACTGGATGCTACCTCAGGGATGTTCACACTTGGGAACATAAGCAAAGGCAGTGAATGAATGCGCTGGCTTCGGCAAACTAAGCACTTTCCTGCTCATCTCAAAAGTTGCATCGAAAAGAATAAAGCCCTGAAAAATAATCGAGATTTCATTGTCTCACGTTTGATAGGTAAGCAAATCGCTGGTCGGGCGATACCGGCACGACTGATGGCACATGTACCCTCATCCAATGGGCAAGCAGGCGGAGCCGCAAGGAAGAACTAAATGATGCCTATGAGATCTACTGGCTCGGGTCCCTTTGCGTCACAAAGTATAGAAGAACCAAGGCGGCATCGGAACTACAAAGAGCCACCCAACACTTTCGAGACGCGTTATGTCGGATGCCAACAGACCATCCTCGGCGTCTAGACATGCTTGAAGACCTAAGTTCTAGTTACAGTGTCCTATTTCAAATAACAGGAGCACTAGTTTATTTGGAGAAGGTGTCGCAGCTCAGCCAGGAAGTCGTCGACCACACCCCACAGAACCATCAGGAACGTGTTCCTCGGTTGTTGGATGCTGGAATCGATCATATGGATATATATAGCAACTTGGTGACGCTGCGCACCTAGAACTAGCCCTTGAAGTTTTTACCAAGACCCTCGATGCTGCAAAAGAGAATTATCCGCGCCTCCACACCTGCAATTCAAGTCTAGCAATTGCATTCAGATACCGATGTTTCAAGGACGGCAACATGTTAGATCTAGACGCGGCTATCGGACATTTTGAGCAGGCCATTCACCTGGTCACCATCGACTATCACAAACGAGTACGCTGGCTTCAAGATGTTGCCGCGTGCTACGGGAAGCGGTTTCGGAAAACACAAGACATTGCAGATATCTCCCGAGCAATTGAAAGAGCTGAAGAGTCCCTCGAAACGGAAAAGGACGACTTACTGGCTCGTGCACGTGGCTATAGCGTTCTCGGATCAAGCTATGGACTGAAGGCTGAACAAACTGGTGCCATGCAGGATCTCGAGCTATGCATTCAAATGAGCCACCGTGCACTGGCGATACCACCGCCCGACTGCCCAAATAGAGCGCGTCGTCTACACATCCTTGGTGCATGTTACGGCACCAAATATGGTAGAATTGGGATACCAAAGGATTTAGATATCTGCATTGACAGATATCGAGAGGCGTTAGACAACACCCCGCACGACAGTTCTGATCGTGGACTACGGCTTTGCAGTGTAGGTGGTGCATATCTTGATAGATACCAAAGATTCAAGTCTTGGGAAGATCTGCATGATGCCATTGAAAGATTAGAGGAGGCTATTCAGGTTACAGTTACTCCAAGCGACCATCCGGATCGCGCTCGTCGCATCCACAGTCTCGGAATTGCATGTCAAGAACGATATCTTGGAACAGGAAAGGCAACAGATTTCGTTATTGCTATTCAGTATCTAGAAGATGCACTCAACCTAACACCGGCCAATGACCGCGACCGGCCCGCTCGCTTTGATACCCTAGGAAGCATTCATCATGCCCACTATAAAATACGTGGTGAGACAGCAGACCTTATTAAAGCTCGAGACTATTACCAAGAGGCGCTTCAAATTACACCAAGAGGCCATCCTGATGAGAAACACAGGCTTGGAGGCCTCGCTACTTGTCATCACGACTTATTTCTAAGTGCTGGATCTTTCGCAGACAGAGACTTGGCTATTGACAAATATCGAAAGGCGCTTGAGTTGACGCCAAGAGACAGCCCCATGGGCTGGTTTCGACTTCATAATCTTGGGATGGCATACAGGGATAGATATAGGAAGAACAAGAATGCAGAAGCCCTGGAGGCGTCAATCCAACATTGCCAAGCAGGGCTCGACCACAGCAGATCGATTAAAGTCTGGCCAGGATCTGCTTATTATCTACGCCGATACCGACAGTTGGGCGTCTGGATATGAAATTGCCTGGAAAACATTATCTCTAGTTCCACTAATTACTCCTCATGCCTTGAGAAACTCAGACAAGCAGGCTTTACTTACGAGTATCGTCGGCTTGTCATCTATAGCGGCGAGTGTTGCCTTGATGGCGAACAAATCCGTCTTTGACGCAATCTCACTTCTGGAGCTTGGCCGTGGGATCATCATCGGCTCTTTGCACGATATGCAGACAGATGTCTTAGACTTGCGCCAAGGCCATTCTGACCTGGCGGAAGAATTTATCGAGCTTCAAGAGAAGATACATGGCCCAAGCGCGTTGGCAACCTTCGACGAACGCTACAAGGCAGGTCAGCAGTATGAAATGTTGCTTCAAAAAATCAGAGACTTGCCCGGTTTCAGCGAGTTTCTCCTGTTCCCAGCTCAGGATGATGTCAAAGCCGCCGCTACTTCTGGTCCCATTGTTGTTATCAATGTTAGCGCTTACAGGTGCGATGCTTTGCTCATTGAGCTTCATCAGATGAGGGCCTTGCCTCTCCCAGACTTATGTCTAGAAGACATTAAGGATCGTGCAACTACCTTAACATCCCTCTCTACGGATACACTGGAGTGGCTTTGGGATACTGTTACTTGGCCAGTGCTAGAGGCGCTGAGACTTGATCAAGCGCCCGGGGATAGTTGGCCTCGCATATGGTGGATTCCAACGTGGCCACTTACCAGATTTCCTCTTCATGCGGCGGGCAACTATAATGATGACTTATTCGACACAGTTCTCGACCGCGTAATTTCGTCATACAGTAGCTCTCTCAAGGAAATAATAAACAGTCGACGAAGGGATAAGACCCGCGATGTACCCATTGGCCCCAAAAAGGTGGTTTTGGTTGGCATGGAAGAAACGCCGGGCCAAAGCCGTCTTGAATTTGCGTCGCAAGAAGTCAAGCAAATCGCAAAGCTTTGCAGCTTTTCTCAGTTCCATGTCAGCAGGCCTAAGAACCAACGAGAAGATGTCTTGGCTCAAGTCAATGGCTGTGGCATTTTCCACTTTGCTGGCCATGGGATGAGTAACTTATCCAACCCCCTGAAACCTACTCCTTCGCGAAGGACCACTGACGGTGTCAAGGCTTCTCGAAACCAACCTGCGGATCCAAAGGCCATTCTTGGCCTATCTTTCCGCCTGTGGTACAGGTCAGGTGAAGCAAAGGCGGCTTGCGGACGAAGGAATTCACTTGATGAACGCCTGTCAGGTCGCCGGCTTCTAACATGCCATTGGTAGTTTATGAGAAGTCAACGACGAGTCTTGCTTGCGCATAGCCAAGTCAACATATGAGTGGATCATCAAGCATAATCTAAGCAATGATTCTATCTCCGAGGGACTTCATCATGCATGCAGGAGGCTACGGAATGAATGGATGTCTAAAAATTCACTCGAAGATGAACAGTGTAGGGAACCAGGCGTGAAAGTTGGGGACGCAGACCCATATTCTATTCAAGTTGTCCTCCCAAGCACAAATCGGCCAAGAGACAGAAGGGATATCTTGTATTGCGGTCATTCGCCGCTTCTCTGGGTTCCTTATGTCCATTACGGAGTCTGAAAGTGATGGTAGTATTTAGTTGATTTACCAGTTTTCTTAGCTATGTAGAGAATCACAGAACAGTGCGAGAAGACTTGAGCCCAAGATGATGTCTTGAAGGTATCATCCTGCACATTTTGGTATCATAGCAGGCAAAGTACTGTGTAATCAGGTCAAGTTACTCGCTGAACGGTCTCAACGAGCGTCAAATCCATCGTTCAGATGATTTTTAGTCTAATTAATCAGCCGGGGGCGCAGCCAGCTAGCATTATCATGATGACATCGCAATTATATACTTATCCTCAAGGACCGCTAAGGAGGGTCAAAGAATGTGACAAGCTAAACTGGAAGTTCTGTTCGATGGTAACGACCAGCGGCAGACTCTAGGATGCCGTTGCTGAGTGCGCCTCCTCAAAAGTGATCCGCAGGATTTTTTTTTTTCTTCTTCTGATTCACAGCTAGCGTATCAGCGTCAGCACCCTGCTTGAAGAGGAAGCTAATCATGTCGATATTCTTTGTAATTTACGCTCTTTGAAGTAAAGTATGTCCACCCATGTCTTCAGCGCCATACAGAGAGGCTGGTTTCGCAGAGAAGGCAGCCTTCCACTCCCAGAGATTCACGTTGGCGCTATATTGAACCCATCTAGGTAGCACCGACGGACTTGTCGTAAACGAAGGATACTCCCTAGGCCTTTGCTTTAAGCAAGGAAAATTATCGAGGATGCGAGAAGTGGTCAGGCTGGAAGCCTGTAGCGCAGCTGAGCTCTCGTCTCTGAGCTCCGCTTGTAGGCGGCAAGTTACAGCGCGGACACAGCCAAGAGCCGACCAACAGTTGGCCCGTCAATCATTTAGGTGTTGTGGGTATTAACTCATGCTCTTGTGAAGAGTGGCAGTTACAGGTGGCCACAGCGCACATATTTTCCCGGCCTTCAAGGGCACAGCTAAGCAGCTGCCTTCTAGAAAGCCGCGGTATGAGCGTGGGTACGCGAGGATCCACGAGTGTTCCAATACAGAACTATTTGTACCCGAGCGTAGGTGCCGTGCTGAGAGGACACCGCTTGATCGTTATCGTCCCTTGCTTGTTAACAATTGGAACCCCGCATACTCATGGGCTTTGATTCGGGCCATGATTCGAGAGGACATGTCTCTGGTACCAGGGCATGTAGAAGTCCTTTGCCCATCCTGCCAGGCGGCGAAGGCCAGCGACAATCTGGTACGTCTTGAGAATGCTCTGCGTAGACCCGAACTCCTGCTCAATCCACAAGGTGGTGCGATAAACTGTGATATTGGTGCCGTCTTCCAGAGTTGTGGTCTGAGGCTCCAACGTAGAAAAGACAAAGAGCCAGCGATGGCCTTGTATGATTACTCCCGGGAGGAAGCCGAGTTGGGACAAAGCCGCCTTCACAGCATCCGTGATTTCTTCCTCGTCTGCCCCATCAGCCTGAGTCGACGTGATCATCGCCTTCACAGCGGATTGGAGAAACCTCCACTGCGCTGCATGCCATACACCCATCTGCAGCTGTGCCATGTCCAAATCCTTACCCGGACGTTTAGTTTCAATGCTCAGTGTGATAGGGCGAAGCTGAAGAGGCCTGTAATCGGTGTGGTTGACTGTCTGAGTAACTGTGCGCTGAGCAAGTGCTCGGCGCGCTTGAGCATCGACGTCGGAATCATCAAAGAGGCAAAAGTCCACCATCTTTTGCCTTGAAGAACAGGGTAGATAGTTCCTATGTGGCCGGGCGGTTGTACTGAAAACCCATTAGCCTCTAAAAACGATACGCTCTTTTTCCATCAGACGTACCATGACATAAAATCGAAGGGCTGGGCGGAGGCCTCTCCCGATCCTCTAAAGATGCTCTCAAGAAGCCGATGATGCACTTCGATGTTCCAGCTGAATTCTTCGTGGTCGCAATTAAAGCATTCCATCGCCCGCTCACGGACAGTATTGAGATCTTTCCAGCTCGGCACACGGCCAGGCAGAGTATCTACACCTTCATCCTTGAAAGCAGAGCGCCAAGGTCTCGTATTCAGCCCTTGTTCCTGAAGGATTTGGATGACTTCGCTCTTCTTGCCATGCGGCAAGATGTCAATGCCCATGTCGATCTCAAGCAGCTCCTGCACTAGAGTAGAGGCCGCGAACGGAGGATTGTCGTTATCGAGCTGCTTGCACTCAAGCCCTCCGATGTCCAAATTCAAGCCCATGAACTGTCTCCGGGGCGATGAAGCTTGTGAACGGTGGTCTCCCTGCTGAGACGGTGGCAGCGAGACGGACGACAAAGAACTCAACTGGGAGCTTGTCCGCGTGCCTTTTGCTTGGGGTGTTTTGTCATCATCACCAATTCTTCGTCTTTTTGGCGTAGATGTATGCTCCATCCCGCTTGCGCCGCCCGCTGAGTGCGGAGGAGTGAGTCGCTGGCGTCGTAATTTCCGTTTGCGCGGGGCTGCACAATCGCCTTCGGGGTGGTCCAGCACGTTCTCAAGCCAGAGATGAATTCGGCTATCGTCTAACATGACGGGGGAAAAATTGTTCCTCCAGGCACGGCATCGGTATCATAATAGCAATTTGGCTGGGCGAAGTGAGTTATTGGAGGCTGGAACTTCAAAGTGGAACAAAGATTACCATGGCAACGTACGAAGATTCGTTCGATACGCGGTATGAAGCGGTGATTGGCCAGGATTTCTCAGCTCGGTCTCACTATAATCCGGATCCTCCTAACACCAGCCACAAGGGCAAGCCACCCGAGCAACAATGCTTGGTAAGCAGAGCAACGGCAAGCCCCATTCCCTACCCTACAGGCCAGGTATCATCAGGAGTTGAAGACCAAACTCAGCAGCTGTTATAATCAACTCTATTATCAGGGATATCCATCACGGAATGAGACCTATTCTATGTTTATTCTGTCCATTTCTTATCGAACCATATCTTTGACTAAGTGGTGACCACATAGGAGACGCTGTAAGCTAAAGTGGTCTAATTCGATCTCTCAAGTGCAACTGCCCTCAAGAAAGTACGGGATAAAAGTAGCGCAAACAATCGTCATCCCCGCCATGTCACCGGGACTACAAGCCTGGCGGCCATTCATCACGATGCCCCCCACAGATCCTACTGTAATAAAGTCTAGATATCAACTGCTGCATTACAGATGCCTGGTGCGTGAGTATGACCATGCTGTTATGGTAGAAACTCCCCCCTGGTAATTACATGATTAGTGGAGCTCAATTGGTCGAATGGGAAAGCATCATTGGTTGACATGAAACCGTTACATGAATTGGCCGAATGTTTTCAGCGGCCTTGACCCTTAGCTCCAGCCAATCAAAATCTTGCAACGTGACGCGTCATCTGCGACTAAGCGCGCTCATACGACGGACTCATCGTTTCCTAGGGACCTGAATATCCAGGTACCCTTGGCCAAGCTAGAGATTTCTGTGACACCATCATGTCATCGCGTCCCACTGGAGTCGCATGTCGTCGGAACAACTGACAGGCCACTAGCTACGGCTCTGGCTCCGGCCACAGCTATTCCTCTGGACAGCTAGGTCAGCTTCATCGTAATCCCTCGTCTTGATGACGGACGGCTTGGTCAGCGACACAGCGATCGCTCGTATAGGGTTTCAACTTCGCTACCAGGAGACGACAGGTTTGACTTGGGCGAGTTTGCGACGGCTATTAAACCTGGACGTCTATGGAGTCACATCATCGCCAAAAGGGACTACACACAGACTGCAGCAATCATTGAGAAGGCATTGGCTTGCCGCCGGAGATGAAAGCCGGTGAACTACTGGAGCCTGTATTTTTATAGCTAGATATATTTACTACGGATGAACAGTAACCTAACCCTAAGTAATTAGATTATGAAGGAGGAAAGGCGACTTGAAGATAGTGAGACACGTGACTATCAACTAGTTAAGCGTCACAAGCTTGATCATTCTGATATCTTCTGTATAGGTAGTGTTCGCCTTAGTTAGCTTACTCCTTAGAATCTTCCTTGAGCTCTCTCTTCCTAGCTTCTCGTTTGAAGCCAATATGGATGCCAATGAACATGAGAAGGGAGGCGACGGCAAACCCAAGATAAGGTTTGGCTCCAATCTTCCAGTTTGGTGCTTCAGATGCAGGAAAGGCTGCAATTGGGAGAAAAGCGCTGAGTGCATAGAATATGATTGTTCCAGTAGCGAAAAGAAGTGTCCGAACTTCAGGCTCTCCTCGCAAGTGATCAGATGCCCACGCGCACAACAGCATCATTGAAACGCTAATCCTTATTAGCACGACTGTGGTTGGCATTACTGTAGGCTTTCTTACTCTCCAATATAGTTTAGGTAATATCCAGCCATATGAAGCGGTCTATTTTGGGGTCGGGCAATAATAATGGACAGTGATGTAAGGCTGATTGCCTATTACTTGTTAGCTATACCTCTCATCCTGTGATGTGGTCTCTAGTCCTTTCTTACAGAATGTAGAATTAGGAATGGCAACCTTTGACCAGTCAAGTCACTGAAGCCGCTGAATAGCAGCTCAGCAACTAATTGAACGGCTTGCCCAATAATAGGTAGATAGTTCAACATGGCTACGGAACTGCCCTGTTTGTTAGCAGCTTAGAGATAAGATCGTTTTTAGATGGGAGACCGACTATGTCAAAGTTCCGTCTGAGTTTTTCAGAGATTGGAGATAGAGATTGAAATAGCTGGTTGGCGCGGTGTTGCCACCGAATGGCCATGCAACTAGGACAGTTAGACTCTATTGACAATTTGATGATGGCTAGACGGCATCTTACTTGCAACAGCCCACAATTCCCAAAATGTGAAGGCTCTTATGAACGACTTGACTGTGAGTCCTCTCTGAGGCTCTCGGCCGATACGGCGACTACGAGCGAGTGCAACATCTTGAAACAAAACCATTAGCACAACAAGGCAATTTGGGATACTGAGGTGACTTACCGTAGTCCTGTCGCCTCAGATACCAGCTCGCAAGTTTATTTGGGCGTTCAGGCTAGGTGTCTTGGTTAGGTCCTCATCCTCCTTGGCGACATTTGTTTCTGAAACGACATACATATCCAGGTAAAAGGACGTATCCAAGAAGCGCGACAACAATTGTGCAAACGCCCTGTCTGAAGTCAGCTCAATAATCCAAGAATTGTAATGTTGTAACGCACATTGATAATAAAGGCCCATCTCCAGCCGCTTCGATTCATATGGCCCTCCAGATTGGTGGACAAAGCGCCTTGCATTGCGCCGGACAGCATAGCCCCAGCCGGTTGAGCCATATTGTAGATGCTCATGCGGAGAGCTACTTCGTTGGGCATGTACCACTGGCTGATGTGCTTTAATTAGACTCCTCCTGGTTCTAGATAGGCTGTGCAAAACATACCTGATCATTGTGAAATAAGCCGGCCACATCGTCGCTTCACAAAATCCGATAAAGAAGCGAATTCCATATACCTTTCGATTTGTGAGCATTTTCCAAGAACACTAGGTTCAAAGATCTTACCTGTCGTGCATCTGTTACTAGGGACAAGCAACAAGTAAGAACTCCCCATATGAGCTTAATTGAATATTAGCATACCGGGAATCTAGATAGACAAAAGAAGAGACAAACTTCGCAGGATGGAAGCCAAATAGCAGGCCCAATATGAGATATAAGAATGCAGGAAGGAAAAAGCATTATCATGTATCCAATACTAAACAGTGATGTGTTAGGCTGGGCTTGTTCGGCTATGGTCAAGACAACTTTGGACAGTAACTTACTTGAAATATGTAGTGAAATAGTTGAGCTCGTTTCCGTATAAGTGTAAATCCGTTTGCATACCGGATACGTACGCATTGCTCTGAATAAGCACCATTAGCAAAGCAACCTTGAAGAAACCCTGCCCGAATCTACTCACGATGTTGGTCTGGTCTATATACTTGAACATGTAGCTCAAGAACCCAATAGTGAGGAAGCCTAGGTCAAGTCTCCAGCGAAACTGGTTTTCTGCAACAGGATCGATGTCATCGTCTCTCTGATCTGTCGTTATAGCTAGATCCGCCTTCTCATTGGTTTCAGCAACACCAGCCGAGAAATCACCTGGATGAGTAGTTGGTGCCATGATCGAAGCCGTTCAAGGATCTGAGTATGTATGTGTTTCTTCAATGAACTCCTTTATTCCCATCCTGAAGTAAAAGGAACTACATAAATTATATAAACCACAGTTATCTGGAAACTCCCACACTTCGGTGAGATGGTGTCATCGGCCAGGGCAACGGTGTGCTCCAGGAGTCGTGTGGGTACAAGCCCACATATTCGGCACGCTCTCACAAACATTCGATTTCTTATTATCAATAGACCCCACTCCGTATGAATGCAATATCGGGTTTGTGGCTGTAGTGTCGGTTCGTTCAACATTGCCGAGAGCAGTTGGTACAGCATGGCCATTCCCTGGCTGCAATTACACAAGAATGGTTAAGTTGTCATCAGATGCAGGCAGGCAAGAAAGGCCAGTAATTTAGCAAATTAATGCCACCAAACCACAGGCAAACGTGTGGAATAGCTCATTTCATATAGCCTACTGACACTAACATAGCATATCATGACACTTCTCCCTGGCATAATCAACAGTTAGACTTCGTAAGCTGCATCAATATTCTAATATCACCACAATATTCTCGCGTAGCGATGGCTGTTCTCCTACAACCCTTCATCGTCAAGCCATATCGGAGCAGAATAACTGATTTCAATTTCACATAACTCAGCTGAATACGGAATTTCTAGGCATCTCGATGCTCATGGGTAAAAAGCGTTTCAATCTTCAAGACGGCTTTCGTCAAGATCCCATATTCCAGTAAACATATCTGGCCAGGGCGCTTGATTATCATCTAGGAAATTTCCAATTATAGGGTTGTCAAAAATATCAACACTTCCACTACCGATAGCCTTTTCGGGTGGGTTCTGGATTCCTTGATTGTGGTGCAAGTTGGTACCCGTTTGAAAATTTTGTGCCCTGTTTTCCGGGGTATCCTGCTGGTTTCCGCCAGATTCTGTAGCTTGATGGCCGCTGTCTGACGTGCCATCAGTGAACAGATGGCCCTCGACTTGGCATTTGTTTCGTAGCATTGCGACACGCTCCTGAAGATGTGATAACCTCTCACAATAATCCACAGAAGGCACGTTTCCATCCTTCTTCATAGACTGCAATACAGCCAAAAGGATATTTAATGCATCAGAAGTGGCAGCATCTGGCTTTATGGCTAGTGATATTACCAATATCAGGGCAGCAGAAAAGAAGTGATGTGCATCCCAATAACCAAACGTCGCAAGTGAACCATCCAGGAAGAGCCCCTCTGCAATCCGACTCGAAGCCTGTGCCGCATGAACACAGCTGTCGGCCAATGCGAGAGTAATTGGTGAAAAGTTGTTCGATCGTTGGCTCCGTGGAGCTGTGCTGCTACAATTGGGTCGAAACTGAGCTTTGAATAAATGCAAATGAATTGGTCTAGTCGTTTGGATGATGCATTCATTATACGCCAAGTGTAGGCTCAGGACGGGTCGAGGCGTGTTTTGTTCTCGAAGACGCACAGTCGGTTCTAATTCATCATGCCATGCTCGTAGTTTCTTGAAGATCGTGTATACTCGATGTATATATAAACCATTTGTGCGCTCAGGAATCCCATAAATATCGGTTACTACAGAGACGATGTCAGTTTTGTTATCAGTGATGGCAAACAGGGATAGGACAAAACTAACAAATATTCCCAATGATCCGACCTAACTGTACATTTGCCACCATTGGTATAGGATCGAGAAAATCAATCTTTTCTTCTTCTGTTAAGCCATCCATACTTGGGAGTTCGACATCAATGTCCTTGTCCCTGATAGTTATCGGCTGACCGAGTTTGGAAGCAGAGACACGCTCGAGAAAGTATAGGACCCACCAAGTACGTCGGCGGCATTCTCTTTCAGCTGGGCTCAATGTGATGAGCTTGGAGGCTGACCTATGTAGACCCATACTCGTCGCGATCTTCATAGCGTTGCCAATGTAGCTAAATGCGGTCATGACCCGACCCAGAATGTTCGAAGACCATGCCTGTCGAAGTATGTGAGATTATATGTAGGATAAATAAGTTAGGTGTCATAAAACTTACCAATAGTATTAAGACCTCCACCTGAAGCAACGACGGCTCCTCGAATGCTTCCCGGAATACATTCACAGCTTTAATATAATAGTCTGTTCCAGGAACTCTATTATCGCCCACCCCTCTTCGGTTCGTATAGATCTCTCCCAAGCATAGCAAACTATAGAACTTGCATAGCCAAAGTTCTGAAGGCATTACCTCTTTGCGGTACACCACGTCTACTTCTCTCATAAATGATGCCTCTAGAAGTGGGAGAGGGTAACTACCGATGAAGCGCCGAGCAACATTCAGAAGAAGCCTTGCATGCGTACTCTCGGGAAAGTCGGTTCTGGGATCCAACGACAGCTGCTGGTATCTGGGGACTCGATAATAGTTGGAAAATGCAACGGTCGCTAAAGGATAGCTATCGTCAAGGCATTGCAATATCCTATTGTGAAAGGCAGCGCAAGACGCTTCACCAATGAAAGCTGGCTCAGAAGCCCGTTCGTAAATGACGTTCTCTAACTGTCCATCAAAGATGGGATTAAGCATGCTGTTTTCCTCACGCGAGAGAGCCGGAGATATGTCCTCATGCTCCTTTTCCGAGAATGCCTCTTGATTGGCCTGGGTGGGACGTTGGTTGCTGATTCTTTCAAGGCGTTTGCTGTCCGCTTCGAGTTTCTTTAAATAACTTCATTTCGATTAATTTTAGTAAAATTGACGAAAGAGTGTCAAAGAAAGGAGATTACCTTTCCGATATTGTGACCTTTCGTTCTTTGACAGGGAACTCGCAGCTCCCCTCGTCACTGGACGAGATACATGATTGGCATGGGCGGCTCCCAGAACATTTGATCTTATGCAAGTGACACCGATGGCAGCTGGAGCAGTATGTTAGTACAGGCAAATAACGTTACAAATTTTACCTACGCTGCAATTAATCTTTTCGTTTTGCGACGGCCCTCGGCGTTCATATCGAGGAATAGTGTAAATGGGTATTGGAAATCAAATGACGCTATATTACCCCTGTACCACTAATACTGGTATCAAGGTCGTCAGAGAAACAATAGAAAACGGCGGTTTATTGGCTTCCTCTTTACTGGTATTTGGTATCATGCTACGAATTATTTTCACAAAATTCAGAGACTTCTGTTCCCCCAAACATCACGTACAGAAGGTGCAAACTTGCTACTGAGCAGAGCACGCAATTGTTGCTTTGAATTGCGCATACCGAAGTGTGGGTATTCTCTCGGTAACTGAAAAGTTGCCGATCATGCACGAAATTATTCTCGGCGTTCTTTCGGCTTCAAGTGATGAAGCTAATACGTAATTACCATAGCGTCTTAAACCAATTGCGGCTAGTTATCAAATTAGTCGAAACCTGCGCGGCTGGACACGGCAATTACTTGAGTGCGATTCTGACAAGCAAACCTTGGTCTAACAAAGATCTTGATGTGAGAGTGTGAGAGATTCATAGCTACAAGCACAGATGAGAAAGTCACTCTGTATCCGTCTGCTGAAGTATCTGCTATCAAAGCTGTCCCCTAGCAAAATAACGCATTTGAAAAAAAAGCTCTTCATTGTTATCGCTATCTGCAACGCTTGAAACCGTTTCGATGTATCGTGAGCTATTGGTTTTCTCCAAGGGGAACACCCATGCCATGTCGTCCGGCGTAGGCAGACTTCTCTGCAGGCGCCCAGCCGCTCGTCTGAAGCAGATTGTCATCTGCAAGGCGGAAAACCTCAACCTTAAGAGGGCGACAGCACTTAATCATCTCCTCTTCGCTATCCTCGCCGAAGCCCCAGAGAGACAAGTCACCACCAGGGCACGTGCCTAAAATCATCAGCTTCTGGGAAACAGAGTATCAGGAGAGATGAATGGTCAACCAGACTTACTCAGAGCCATGAGCAAATCCTGCTCAGCAAGGAACTCCAGGTGGTCACCAGGTTCAGCAGGCGAGGGGTTCATGAAATACCGACCCTGTTCATCAAGGCCGGTAACTTGGAAGATGTTGATTACATCATGAACATCTTGTTCATTCAATCCATAGGGGATGACTGCTCGTGTCAGATTTGAATGGCACTGGTAATTGTATTGGCCTCCACTCAAGACCGTATTAATATACGGGTCGCAGCGAGTGCCTAGTAAGTCATGCACCCGACCGCCGTGCTCATCTTTACCGTACCAGGAGAGCGTGTCCTTGATTATGGTGGCAAGAGGACGCATGTAGGGAAGGTTAGACCAAAGTCGGTCATAGGTCGAGACATGGGAGGCGTGAAGCTGCTTGGTGCGGCTTGCCCAAAAACGCTCCCGTGGGTTATGCAAGTTCCAGATGTTCAAGTCCCCTATTGTAAAGAATCATTTTGTCAGCATCTGCTACTTGATTAACTAACATATTCATATCTCGTAGAAATGAAACCAGTGTGCCACCGAATCAAGGCTATGCCGGTTGTCCATTCATACCAACTTGAGGACCTTCGGGGGTGCTGATTTTGACAATTGAGCCTGCCGGGGCCTTCCATGCTTTCCCTGACCGGATGGGCAACGTGAACTCTTCAATTAAGACTCTGGGTGCCTCGCGAAGCCTGTCATAAAGCTCACGGTTCACCTTGAGTGGGGAGGCATCACTCGAAGGCAAGTAAGCTGGAACAGGCTTGGGGATTGGTTTGCGGTTGGCGAGTCGCTCAGCGTCCGATGCGGGCATTTTGGCGGTGGTTGAATCTTGGAGTCGAAACAATCTCACCAACAAGAGACATTTAATAAACCTCGCAGGATAAACTTACATATAGATAGTGGAAATGCCCCACTAGGCAAATCCACTTCGGCATGTGTATAGTTGCCGCCGATAACAGCAACGGCCTACACGCTAAAAGGCCGAGCACACACATTGTTAGCGGATGCTGGCATGTTATGGTGTTGAGCCCAACTCGCAGCAGGGTATCAACAGCAAGTTCTCCCCTTTTTGGTTGATTAAATACCTGAAAGAATAATAAAGAAATGCCCATATTAAGGAAGCTCCCTCCTTGAATCAACGGATAAAACAATGTTCCGGGACGTAATCCAATTACTTCATTCGGTTTAGTGGACATCGCAGCACTCTTCCTCACCGCTTCGACTTGTAGAACAGATTTCAGTCTTATTTGTTTAGAAATAAAACAATGTCAAGAACATCCTAGCCATTAAAACTCAACATAAGTGTTTTTAATTAGTTTCCAGGATGAAGCAATTATTTCTTACTGTGCAAAACGGCAAGCTAGCCCTAGAAGAGCTAGAAAGCGAAGTCAGGATCGTTGCACCGCCCCGACATGAGGCTGATCATGAATGGGAGCCGAGCCATCTGGACGCCATTTGCGTTGAAGAGTTCATTGTAAAGCCCGCCACATCCTCCGCCACTCCCCCAGCACCCGATAGCAGAAGGGGCCGAAGAACCCTGCGCTCCACAAGGCGCTTGACAAACCAATATCAACTATCCAATGACAACGGCATTTTGATTCTGAAAAAACGGGTGCTCAGTTTCGAAAAGGTGCTGCTGTTTGGAGTACACGAAAGGACCATACAACAGAAGGGAAACTTCAATAACAACCCATCGCTGCTGAGACTTCCCGCGGAATTGAGACTTCGAATCTATCGCCATCTTCTAACCAGAGGGGCTCATTACATGGGCTGTTATCCTATATTTCGTGGTGTCTATAACTTCCATATCAAAATCGACGATAGGAGAGTGGAAAGACAGGGTGGCGAGCTATGGCCTGAAATCCTTGCGACCTGTCGACTCATTCATCGAGAGGGGACCCCAATTCTCTATGGCGAGAATATTTTTAGACGGGCGTTCTCCTGGCCACCGAAACGTCTGTTTAGCAGTGTCCCCTTGCCCCGCTCTCTTACTTCTAAACTTAGCAATGAGAGCATATCATCTATCTCTCAACTCTGGCTTGGAGCCAAGCTAGACATGTGGCTTGATGATCAAAGGGAGCTAAAAGTCTTTCAAGATTTCCCAGGCTTACAACAGCTTGAGTTTTATATCTCATTTTGGGAATCAAGTCCCCAGCAATCTAAGAGTAAAAGACTGCTGGAAGATTGCCTGAAGTCAGTCGATCGGAAATCAAAACCTTTAAGGCGTTGCAGCTTCCGCCTTCGTCTTCCTTGCAATTATGATTTAGAGGTTTATATTAAAAGAGGAGAAAATGTATTTGGTCCACATCAGAAGCTGAAGACAAGTGTGGACCACATCATGAAAGTAAGCTCACTGTTTCCTCACCAAAAGATCACATGGCATTTTGAAACATCATTTTCTCAGTATGGTGGACCTGACGCCTACGTTAAATTTGTAATTGATGATGTTAGATCAGGCGAGGAAGGCTCTGGGAGACCAGACATCAAATGCACGGTATGTTTCGATGGTACAGATACTCATACAACCATGGAGAATCGTGTGTAACAGAATCTTTGGGCCGCCTTGTACCCCTTGTTATGTGTATAGTCTAGTTATATCGCTGAAGCTATATTGCAGAACTAGGGTTTTTTTATTGTTATTATAGCTTGCATATACAATCTCCTTAACGTCCATCTTCCCCGTTATGCCAATTTGTCTGCTATTTCTCTGAGATGACTAGAGAACAAGAGTAGACACGAGCTGGTACAAAGCTCTCTATCTGCTCAACTAAGACTTCAACTTAGACTTGCAGCATTTCTACAAATAGAAGGCTCAGAAAGCGCTCCTGCTTTGGGGCTTTTGATTGTTAGATAATCTTGATGTATCCAACATTATCTTTCACAACGATCTCCGTTCCAAACAGCTTCGAAGTGTTCTGCAAATGTGCCAAAATACGCTGCGCTTCTGCCGCTGGCGCCACTTTCGGCATGGTGCGATCTGGCAGAGATGTATCGTTTGTCAACTGGTTATGCACAAGGGGATGCAGGATAACCTCGGCCGGCGACCCGTTCTCAAACCTGGTCTCGGCAATTATTCCGTCGTCCCATTCGATTGGAAGATTGTATCCACGAAACGACAGCCCGAGACTGTAAGTGAGAGACCCCAAGCCGTAGAAGATGGGGCGCGAATTGTAGACCTCAATGCCTCTCAGAGTGTGCGGTCCATGTATCAACACCACATCAGCACCAGCATCGATTGCGGCATGGCTGATTTTTCATGTGTAACTAGCAGGTACGCTTGAAGCGGGCGGGAGAGGGATAAAATCGGAGTCTGCAGCGCCTGATTCAGACTCATGAGCATGCAGCGAGAAGATTGTGGCGTCGGATTGTTTCTTCGCCTCCTTGATTGCATCCAAGATGCCAGTGTAGTCGTCCGGGTTGATATCGCAGGAGATCGATGACCCAGACTTTTCACCCAACATCCAGTTGGACCAGGCAATCTGAGTCTGGTCAGTATTTAACGTGATGCCATTCTCATCACCTGCCAAGATTTGCCCTTGAGACTTGGCAATGTTTCGAATCTGGTCAAATCCCGCGGCATCGACGACAGTGAAGGGTGTCGCACGAAGAACGCTGACGCCGGGTCGAGGCCGCAAGTGCTCGTCTGAGTCTCCTGGCCCAGCAACAAATTGGGGTGTGTGCGTGCCCGCTGTACTCACGAGTGCCAGCCCCCTGTTGCCCTTGGTCCCAAACACCGCTCGTCGTGCTTCGTCGAGTCCAACACCGGATCCCGACGTAGAGATGCCCACCTTGGGCAAGATTCTCATGGGTGCTGATCATACCCGCCTCGACAAAGTCCCAAGCATGGTTGTTAGCATGGGAGGCAAGGTTGAAACCGTACTTGGCGAGTAAGGCAGCTTGTTCGGGTGGGTAATGCGGACCGCCGCCGACGCCTCCGTAGAAGTTATCACCGCCGTTCTCAGAGGCAGGATACCCGGTGAATGACTCCTCGTTTATTATCTGCCCTTCCATATTGAAAAAGGCAAAGTCGGCTGCCTGGGTGATGTTCCACACCGCAGCAGTGCGAGTGTCGTTCGTTGCGACTACATCCCCAATCAGGTCTCCAGTTGCTGCTAGTGTCCATGGTCTGGAGTTTCTCGGAGCTTCGGCGACACAGAGTGGCCATTGGAAGGCCAAGCTGGCGAAGGGGAGCATCAGCCAGCGTGATGATCTAGCAGCGGGCATGACTGATGGTGGCTCTGAATAACAACAATACACTGGGTCTAAACACTTGGGTTGTGGGTTCTAAAACTTATCGAAACAAGTGATAGTATTTATAGACTGTGAGGCTATGTAAGGCTAGTTCCTGCTGCAATGAATGTCACTTTGGCTCACCTTGTTTGAATGTCTGAACGCGCGGCCGAGACTATGAATATGCATCCGTAACTGTCTCTCGCCGCGATCATAGAGCAGAGCCCGGACCGGCGACTTCTGCGGCTCACGGGGTCCACCTTCCCGTTCGGGTGTGCGAGACCGCACGTTTCGACACAGTCTTTTATTATCAGTACTGCTTGGCTGACGTCTTTCTTCATGTGCCGGCGACAGACTGCGGACCAGAGCACCAGGCTGGGTTAACTTTTTGCTGATCACAGTGACAGCCCGGCACTCACTTGAGAAAGGGTTCAAAGTAAGGTTAAGATTTGCATGAATAGACACGAGGACGAGACTACACCTGCAGAGGTATAAGATGTGGTTTGAGTTGCGGTGGGCTTTTCTATCCTACCATTCCATTTGGGCAAAAGCTATCATTGCCGAGAGCCATTGTGACGATGATCTGGACCAAGGCCTTTGTTTTATCTTTGGTGGTGGCCTGCGCGATGACATGTGCTGCCAAACCATCATCGCCGGGAAACTCTACTCTGCCATCAATCAATGTGCAGCTGACACCTATTCTGGACGTTGTGAACTACACGGGCATCAATGGAGAGCTTGCCATGGGCATCCAATTTGCTAGCAACGAGACCCGTCTCGTGCTGCCCCTCGAAATGGCAAATGCACCATCTGCGCAATATACCACGGAGACACTGGAAGCGTGGGACCGTCTTGGCCAGCTCAAGCTGATCCAAAGCGATGGCACTGGATTAGACAGCCAGCCCAGCAGGTTTTGGGCTGTACAAAGAGCCACACAAGGTCCTGTGACAGTCCGGTTCAAAGCGAAGCCGCGCCAAACTGATCCGGACGCCATGGTAGGACCGTTGTTCGACATTCGCGCCAACGGCGATGGTCTCTTGGGCTCGACCTGGGCCCTTGTTCCACTACCGCCTGATAGGACAGCGGAGTATCAGTTCTCCTTGAGTTGGAATCTCAAGCATCCACCACAAGATGCCAAGGCCGCTTGGACATGGGGTGAGGGCCCGGCGCCTGTCACAATCAGCGGCACATCAGTAAAGTTTCTTTACACGTTTTGGGCCGTAGGGTCAATGTCCGCTTACCCAGGCGACTCGGGCTCTAAGCCATTGAGCCCAGACTACAGTATGTACTGGCTCGAGCAACCCCCATTCTACGTGGACCGACCAGTGTCAAGCAAATCAACCGCCCATAGTCGGATTGGGGATCTGGGCCCAGGAGCTTTAGCTGGTACATTGCTGGCACGCCGCTCATAAACATAAAACCCATGCCGATGCAGCCCAGAGAGGTCGCTTGGATGATGTTGTTTTCGTGCGGACCAAAGTCATCAGAGAGAAGGGGGATCTAAACGTCATCAGCTGGCGTTCTGTATGGGATGTTCCACGGCACCGACGTACCTTTGACTTCTCAAGCATCTTGCATATGCCGAATCCGAAAATAGCAGAGAAGGGAGTTGCGTCGGCACCAAAGCCAGACTTGAGGCCTGGTCATGTCAGACTTTGCGTATTAGTGCTAAAACATCGGGCTCTTACCTAGGTACAAATTTGAGCAGGCAATCAAAGAACCAAGGACACCGCCAGTCAAGATGGCGCGAATGGTAACGAGTCTGCGGCCGTCGTAAGGCATCACGCCTGGCAGTGGCTCGTATGGCTGATCCTCTTCGCTCTCAGCAGCAGCAATGCTTGCTCCGTCGGCGGCGCGAATGGTGCCATCTTCCTTATCCTTGTCAAGCAAGTCAAGGGCGACATGGCCGTCTTTCTCAACCGGGACACTTCGGGTGCCCATGTCAGGATAGGATGCGAACAAAGATAGTCTTGGGTCTTATTTTATAGAGTGTTCATGTGCCCGAGAGGGTTCTCAGAGTAGGATCGCGGGAGTGTTGTCGTAGCTAAATCACTATCTATTCATATCAACATCCGAAGAAGACGGGTGGCAAATGAATGCTCTTCTTGCTACTCAGTTGTAGCGAAAGACTTGAAGAAGCTACAGCCTGCTTATATGCATCGGAGCTGTCTCCAGGTCAATAATCTTGCATACATATAGTAGCGGATCGACGGATAGCAGCGTTTATCATCCAGATAGAGATACTCCATTACCCATTGTGTGGCAACAAGGAAATCAACACGTCATTGACACTTTCCTTATCTCGGACCATCTATTCTACCCAGTCAAGGTCTAGCTTCCAATCCTTACTCAATGAGGTCTACGGATCCGCGCCAACACGCGGGGTATGCAGAACTCGGGCCCGCTGCGCCAAACTGAATGCTGGGATTCAATCTTGTCCAAAGTCACCCGACCATGGTCTTAAGGCTACTGAGCTGGCACACGCTTTAAACCGAAGAAGGGGGTCTAGTCTCTGATTCAGTATGCGCTTCTGGATATATAGTGAATTCCCATGCAAATATCAATGCGTTCTTCATCAAGACACCGTGATTATACGCAAAGAATCTCGATTTTCGTTATATCAAAGTTGCCCTATTGAGAATAAGAATTAGATGGAGAGGTATGTAAACTGATAGTGGCAGCTACAAGCTGCGTAGATCCCTTCGCCTTTTCCGTTATCGCAACGTACGCAAACGGCCAGATGGGTGGACTGTACATGGCCAGAATGGCCAATGGGCAAGCATCAGAGTTCAAAAATGCGTACAGGACCGGCAGCCAACCATTCTTCGCCACGTCACTTGGAGTGGGCGTGGATACTCAAATTAGATGTAGCTGTAAGCTCTGTGTTGACTTGTGCGCGAGCCGACTAAGAAAGGCTCGCTTTGAGTTCATGTGTCCATACCGATCGTATGTAAGTAGGCTCAACTACAAGAAGTTCAGCTGTTAATATTTAGTAAATCTGGAAAAGATTGAATCGACAGTACAAGCATTCAAAAAGTTAGGCTACCGTGAATATGATCCGTTCTAAGTATAAATTTAGCTTCTATATCTTGTCACTTGCTAGCACGTTACGAAAGATCTTCACTTCTGCTTCAGATTTGACTATCTTTACAGCAAGGATAACGGATGCACCAGAAGAAAAGACTGTATCCCAATATATTCCTTATTCACCGACGTTTTCAGCGTTCAGGCACCGAGCCAAGCACCATGGCCATAGAAGTACTCAATCTCTACAGTCTGTAACATAATTCTACCCTACCTAAGAGATAAATATACTTTCAATTACATCAGCTATTTGCCTGAGCCTCGAAATGCGGATCTCCGACATATTATAAAAGCCTTATTCTATAGGCCCATGAACTAGGTGCTGATATCAGCATCTCTTCGTCGAGAAGCAACTCGATGCCCAAAAAATAGTAGAACAAACGGAATTATCCCCAATAGTAATGATAGAAACCCTAATAAAGAAGATGCCCAAGGAACCCCGAGATTCTGGTACATTGAAGCCCCCCCAAGGGGAACGAGAATTGCACATATAGACCGAAGGCAGGCGGCTGCGGCATGCGCAGACGCGGAACCCTCCCGGAATATATCAGTTATGTAGTTCAACATACTCATAAATATCATTTGAAAGGCAAATCCAATGAAAATGCCACCGACAGAGGCGAAAATAGGTGAATTGCCCACTCGGGAGATCCAACCCAACCAGAACATGCCGATTACCATGCTGCAAACAATCAGTCCGTGTCTCAAATAAAGCCAATCTTATCGCTAAACGTACCAAGGAGATGCAGCACAGGCGGTGGGAAGACGGCGATTAGCCTCGGACTGGGCCCATTGCTTCCCATTCTGTCTTGATTTGTGGTACCAACTGCTGTACAAGAAGAAAACTGGCAATGCCAATCCGGCGCCGATGATGACTATTGAACAATTAGCACTATGATGAAAGATCCGGGAGTTTGATGGCTACTCACGAGGAATATAAGCCAACCCTGCCATGCTTGAGGACAGGTTATACATATCTGGGCCGTATTAGTAGGCTCAAAAAATGGAATTGCTGATTGGTGACTGAATACCTTGAAAGATGATTGGATACACTTGGAAGATAAGATAGAGAATTGAATATGCAAGAGCGAGATAGATCGACGACATTAGCAAAATGGGTTCGCTGGCTATCAGGCTAGCAGGCCGGAGGAATATCCTTCTGGCATCAAACGGCTTTGGTTGTGTTAGTATCGCCTCCTCTGAATCACAGCCTTCTGTAATGCTCTGATGAGCTTTCTTTCGAAGTACCGGTGCATACGTCTCTGGTAACATTGCAACCAGCGGAATTCCGGGTGCCGCCATGATTGAAGCAGCCCAGAACGGCCACCGCCATGAGAGACGCGACGCAAAGCCTGATATCAGAGGTGCAGCAAAAGCACCCCAGGTATTAAGGACCAGGAAAGCGGCGATAGATTGCCCTCGCTTGTGAGGATCATCTAGAATGTCTGAGTATAGCCCGCCAACAACAGAAAAAGGGGCTGCAGCATTGACGCCGGAGAGAAGTCTGAATGCCAACAGAGCAGGATAAGTAGGTGCACCTGAACACGCCAACATAAATACAACGAAGCCAAGATATGATAGAATCATCACAGGGCGACGCCCGATGAATTCGCTCAACGGACCAAATAGCAACGGTCCCAGAATGAAACCAACCATATTGAGCGAGTTGAGTAGAGCGAGTTGCATTTTGCTGGTCAACGAAAAGTTCTCAGATATAGCCTCGTAGGCACCTGATGGGATTGATGTGCCAACGCTGCAGTTGAGGCCACAAAAAGATCCTGCTACCAGGACGAGCACTTTCGTCGTCTATCAAGTAACAGAATTAGCATACTATAGCAAAACTAACTTTTTGAAGATATGATCTAGACCTACGCGAGAGAATCTTGGCTTGTCCTCATCCAAGGCATGGCAAGTAGGTCCGTGAACGGTTGTCTTAACAGGGGGTTTTCTTTCATTGTCCGACCCAGCGGGAATGTCATCTTGTGACGAAGTATGGATAGTTTCGACCGGCATCCTAGTATTCCCTTGATATTCGATGGTCAGCTTTGGGGGAGTCACCTTGGCGACTTTCTCGCCTTTTTTGTATTTCTGTGCACAAGCGCCCTGGTACCCATTAACTCCGCTTTGGGTGAGCCTGCACGGGTAATCATTGATGTTAGAAATCGCCGCTATTGGTTGGTTAGACCGATTTTAAGACCCGCAACTTCCGAACTCTAATCCCAGCGCCGCAACTGGTTGGAATTACCGATCCCCATCCTCTACCATATACCGACTTCTTTCCTATTCTGAACTCAACCCGACACCACTGTCTTTCTTCTTTCCTGTAAGAGTATGAATCCAGCACGAGATCTAAAGTTTAGTCATCTTGGAATAATACACGATGTCTACAAACTCCTCAAGTAGTCCCCAAGATGCCTCCAAGAGAATCAGTACACGCCCACCATATCAGCTACATATACTACCATTCAGCAGACTAACAAAGTGTCAGACGGGCGCGCTTGTATCAATTGCCATCAACGCAAGGTCCGCTGTGATATTCTTGACAAAGGAGCCCCTTGCACAAACTGCTCAACTGGACATCGCGAGGGATGTTCGATATACGTGAAAAAAAGGCATCGGGAAAGCCAAGGTTGGAATAGACGGCTTATGATTATTTAGCCCCATTCACGAACTACTAATACGAGGCCCAGCGACAAGCTCCCCGGTCTTCGCCCAAGAAGGCAGCCAATACAAGGTTCTTCAGCTGAAGTATGCACTGATGAGTTTCAAACAGAGGACCCAGGGAACTTCGACGATCTCATGAATAATGAAAGCATCCAGACAAGAGAATTTGGAGATCAAAATCGGGTTTGCTTCGTCGGAGGGGCCCTGGCCAATTATCATTATTTGATGCGGCAAACATATCCTCAGCAAGTTCGCAGGAACGTTTTCCACTTCGGGGGCCGGCAGTACAGCTACAAAGACACGTCTCATAATCTCCAACGTATTCCCACAGAAGCACTTGAGAGACCGAAAAAGGCACTAGCAGACAGGCTGGTCCGGGCCTACTTTGATCGGATCAATTGCGGATGGCCAATTGTAGATGAAGAGAGCTTCATGTACCAGTATGAAAAGAATTACCCCAGTGACCCATTGCCCCTGACGCTGTTGAATGCAGTCCTCATGGTCGGGGCTCATGTATTGGCTGATGAAGATGACGAGATGAAAGATCTGCAAAGCATCTTGTTTCACCGAGCCAAGACTCTGATCGACTTCCGGCTAGACCAGGACCGAGTTGCGTTCGTACAGGTAGCGATTCTCATGACTTGGTACTCAGATGGCTTAGAAGACATTGTGGCAAATACGTGGCACTGGATTGGAATTGCCACACGGACAGGCCTGGGGCTGGGAATGCATAGGAACACATTTCAGTCGATGATGCAGCCACACTGGAAACGCATATGGACACGGCTCTGGTGGATCCTATTTCAATTTGAATTTGATACTCTTGCATCAGCATCTCTGGGAAGGCCACAGATTCTGTATGGCTATTCTTTGCCCAACATGGAAAGTCAAATGATATACTTGCTGATATAGTACTAGAAACCTTGATGACTCCGATGTGCCTGAGCTTGTACCGGAGCACTTTAAAGGCATTCCCAACGCAAACATACAATTTTTGATTCAGCAGTCTAAGTTATGCATGATTATTTCACGCACAGCTAGAGACGGCTGGTCTCTTCGCTCTACCGCCCAAGCCCGAAACAACGCCATCGAGACCGCAGATGAGGCACTGGCCAGCTTCCTCCATCAATTACCGCCAGAACTTCAACTGCGTGCAACAAACATCACAACTTGGCAGGCTATGCTTCATTTAACATACAATAATTTCGTTATTCTCATTCATCGGCCGCCGCCAAAAGGCGGTCCAGATGGCCAAGAGGATGCCAGTTACACACGGCCTCACTTGTGCGCCGTGGCTACAGTAGCGATCAGTTCCATCCTCGAATCCCTCATTGACCAAAATCTGATTTGCACATTGTGGTACTCTGTAAATCATATCATTCTTACTGCAATCATCAATGCGAGCACAGAAATCGCCTCATCAAACCCACTTACAGCGGCTGAATCACAACGCGGTCTTTCAATCACTTCTTGCATCATTGCGGTCGTTTTCACGATTCTGGTGTTATGCCCAGGGTCTATTCCACATGTTCCAACAGAGGGCATTAAGGTTGAAACATAGGAGCATCATAACAAATGACCAGCCCCTTCACCAATCACGTCATGGCCCGGACCACTTCATAGCGGTCGACTCAGACCCTGCAGCTCAACAACTACTAGCTGAATATCGGACTGAAAACGATCAAATGACACCCTGTACCGATTTGGCCTACCAACATGATCCGTCGTGCTCGGACTACGCATCTCTTCCTATCACTGATGATGAGATTGAATGGAACCTGCTCAGTGCGGATGAAGGTGCCCTTTTAGAAAATCTATTCCCATCGGATTGCCCTCAAGTTGATAGTTTTCTAAATGAAGTTTTCAAATAGTTTACCTCTAACTATATCTTTACGATAATATAATATATGTGTTTAGTCTGTTTTGATATAAAATCGAAAAGGTGTAGAAAACATTATCTCTTAATAATCCTTAAACACTGATGGAATGTCTTGTCAGTACTACTCCAGTGTCGCTAACTCTTTGAACAAGACAAGGGATAAATGGCTATCCACACCGACATTATTTCTAACTATAAGATGTATAACAGATCTCAGGCTGTCTTCTTGTTTCATCGTTGGATTAAACTCGAGGTCCTCAAGTATTGATTATGGCCGCGGAAATCCTCTCAGATCTACAGCTCTGATGAATGTGAATCATTTCTAAGCGGAAATTAGAGTCAATCCATGCAACAGGCTCATGGCTTAGTTTTTATTATTTAACTAGCAGACTTCTAGCATAGCATAACGGAAGGCCCGTAATTAAAATAGGCGCTGGGATATCAACATGAAGCTATGCATTGATTTCGTGTAGTCGACTGCATGTGCATCAAGACATGTCGACAGAGCTCAAATATCTCTAGCTACATGCGAAACCATAGGGCCTCTATTATACCGATGATCCGAATACTCTCGAGACCTGTAACGAAGGTAGACAGGCTCCGCTGGCCGGTTAAACTGGTGAAGATTTCTATTTATAGGGGCAAGTGGCTCAGACCTGCTATTCCCGTACTCGTCTGACAACTCGAAGTCAAATTGGGAGACCAAATAGGCATTTACCATTGTCACCTCAAGCTTAGCGAGTCTCATACCCAGGCAGATGTGTCGTCCACTACCCCAGCCGAGGTACGAGTGAGGCTGCTTCATCTCCTCGGTAACATTCTCCTCGAATCGGCGTGGATTGAAGGTCAGTGGATCGACATAAATATCCTCACTCAGGCCCGTGTTGTCAACCAAATATGCAACATAGGCATCCGGAGGAATGACTTCTCCCGTATTACCGATTGGGATGTTTTTGTTAGTTGTGTTCTTGCGAAAGGCGGTGCCGGGCTGTCCTAGTCGGATCGATTCGCGCAACGAGAGATCTATGAATTTGAATTCCGTTTCCCACTGATCGAGACTGAGTGTGTCCAGCACGTCAGCTGGTGACTGGTCCTCGGATTTCATGTACTTTGCAATGACGCCATCAACTTCTTCCTTGATATGGGCTTTCCATTCCGAGTTCGTTGCCCAGTAGATTGGTAGATAAGCAGCGTGAATTGTACTGTTGATAAGCCCAGCAACGAGTGCCGCTATCTCGAACTGTTTTCAAACTCAAAATTAGTGTGGAAACAGCAGAGTTGATTGAATATCGGACGGTCAAGAACTCACTGACACGGTATCCTGTACGCTCAAACCATCATCCATAAGTCTCTGAAAAGGATCGTCCACAGTCTTGCCCGATTTCTTCCTATCCGTGATAATCTTGTCGAATATCATATACATCTTAATCCCATTCAGCATTTGAATCATGTAATTTATTGTCGGAAGCCAAGGAAAGTAGATTCTTGCATGGCTCGCCCTGCCCTCGAACTCGCTAATCATCCGCAAGGTAGACTCCAGAAGCTCGGGGTCCTCGGCAACCTCCCTCGCTCCGGTCGCGCGTACAGTGAGTTGGTATATCAGTCTCTGCATGAAATCAAATGGGTTCATCACCCCCCAGTCTTGGCCACGTCTGACACATGGTGCAGCGATAAGGCCGTCAAACGCTCGGCGCGAATCGACCTTGAAGTGATCTAGAACACCGACCAAGTTTGTGGTCTTAAGCAGAGTTGTGAGGATTTTTGTAAATAATTGATAAAATTCGTTTGACTCAGGTGCAGGAACTCCGGTCAGCAGATCTGCATTTCTGGCAGGAACGGTTTGATTAGCAATGGACCCCAGATGAGAACGAAGTCGTTGACTGCGGCCCATTCCATTCGGTGTCCAACCTACCCCTGACTAATGGATAGTTCCCGGTTGTCGAAGAAAGTCTTCTTCCCTTCGGAGCCACTTAATCCCACGATGAGCTTTTTGCCCACATAGAAACTGAAGCTGCCTGTTTTAGTCGACCGTTGTGCCTCGAGATACATATCTCGGCGACGCTTGTAGAAGCGCCATGCGCCCACAATAGGCCAATCATTCTTGGTCCATTGCTTTGGGGCGTTTGATGGTAACGGAGTCCTTGTCAAGACTTGGTGGAAGAGGGCACTGCCAATTGCCACGAGGACGGTGCAGATGATGGTGCCCACTATCTGCGGCCTCGCAAGGCCCGTGATCAGGTCATACATTAAGAGATGGCGGAATAGGATGGGAAGGGGGGTTTGAGTTTCGTGTTGCGAAACATCCAATGTGGTATTCAAACCCACATAACAACGAACACGGACGAAGGCTCTGATTATTATTGTTGCGGGACGCTACGCGGGTAATAGCTGAGCAGCCAAATGCTGAGCTAAGCAGAATCATCGGACTATAATTTACCCGCAATCTATATACCTACCCTAATGCATCCTTACTTTTACCTCTCAGAAGTTGGTTTCTTTCATATGAATTCAAGTAAGATATATTTATATTAAGTTTTGATACTAACTAGTTAATTAAATATTAGAAACTAATTATTAAAAATAATTAAATAAACAACTAATACTATAATAAATCAACCGAATTCTTGTAAATTGGTTAAAGTGTTGCAATTTTATTGACTAGGGAGAAAACCGAAGTTAATATAGAGATAACCCTGACCCTATATTTTACCTCTGGGTCTTGGTTGAACAGGTCGGAAGGCACGTGTTTTGCCAGTAAGCTGTAGGGCAGCCCGATGAGGTTACATCAGACAGATTCCTGCCTAATCTTACAGGCCTTCGTCAAGACTTTTCATCTTGGGGCTTCTCGATTTTGAGGATTAAACACTTGAAATAACAACACCGCGTTGATTTTAAACGATGCAGGACCAAATCTCAAGACCAGAAGGTGAGACAAAGGACGAGGTTTATAACCCACAGCTCGAGTATTTGAGCGAGCCTTTTACCTGGGACGACGTTCCAGATTTCGACCTGGAAATTCAAAAACTCGAAGCCAGCCTTGAGATCGCTGGAGACGTGTCAACGCGTGCTGTACAGCTCAGAAACCTTGGAGAGCTTACGCTAACAGGCATACGGTGACCAGTGAGATACTTGATCTCAACAAAGCCATCAACAACTATCAAGAGGCTCTAAGTCTGGAATCATTTAATAATCCCTCAAAAACAGGTGACCTCGCTGGCCTGGCCATAGCCACCTACCAGAGATTCTTACAAAATGGTGAAAGGTGCGATATAGACAGTTGCATCCAATTACTCGAAGAGTCTCTTGAGAGCCCTGATGCTCAGTATCTCCCCTCGCTACAACGACAAAAGCTCTTAGCGGAAGCATATCACTTCTCTGGAATGTATCCAGAGAAGACACTCAAGATCTCGACCGGTCCATCGTCCTCTTTGAACAGCTTATAGACCTTGAATCTGTGGATGATGCTTCTTACACAGATTCGTTGATGAGACTCGGGGTACTGCATGAGAACAAGTTTGACAGGACTGGAAATCTAGAAGACTTGGATTCCTGCTTGAAGCGATCTCAAGACGCGCTCATAGTCCTCGGTTCTGGCAAGTCTCACAAGAGAGCAGAAGTACTACTAAACCTCGGAACTGCCTATGGAAAAAGATTCGATCGCCTAGGAGACTCGGATGATCTCGACTGTTCCATCGTCTACTATTCCGGCGCGGTGGAGGCTTCTCCAGATGACACATCGCCATTAGAACGCTATGGCCTCTTGTTTCATCTAGGTTTAGGGCATACGAAGAGATATCAGAACCTTGATTCTAGAGAAGATCTAGATATCTCAATTCGAGTTCTGAAGAGTGCCGTGGATCTCGTCGTGGAACACAGCGCGTTCCAAACATCCGCCAATGAGACACTGGGGATGCTGTATCAGCAAAAGTTCAACCGAACTCGAGACATGCTTGGTGTTCGAGCCTTATACCACTCGTTGAAGTCCAAAACATTTGCTCTTGCTCTAACGCAGGTGCTTGCGATATGCTGTGGCTTTTTGACGCCATTGTCGTCTATTCTCTTCACCGTGAAGATTATCTCTGAGGTAGAAGATGTCTCAATCGAACAGGACAGCTGGTTTGGAGTTCGCCGTCAGGGGGCCACTTCGTTCAATGTTTGGGATACTTGGCGCATGCAAGAGGACATGGGTAGTTTGATGTTGTTCCAAAACTCCTCAGAATTGAGATATCCGGAAGGAACTTATCGCGATTTGGTATACCCTATTGTCAAACTCAACGACGCAGTTCAGGATTGGACCGGTAGAGTATCCGTCCATTTAACCCTCCCGGCCGCCAGGTTGTCCCCAGAGTGCTTCCAACTCAGTGATTTCAAAGCAAATCCTGATTCCGAGGTGGCCGACGAGGACCATATCATCGCTAGCTATACAGAGGAGATCATCTGTCCCAACGGCCTTGGTCAAGCGGCGTTAACCAGAGACATTCGCGTTGCATTGGGAAACGAGACCAATCCCAGATACTTCGCGAAAACGATGAGCTCGCAAGATTACGCAATGCTGATTCGAAAGCTGTGCAAAGAAGATGACGACGAGAATACGAACTATCGGCCCTGGACTGTGGAAACATTCATGTGGGGTGCCATTTCTGACTCGAAGAAAAGCTTTGATCATATCGAGGGTTGGCGATGCAATTACACTTGGACCGAAGTTCCCACACAATTCACATATCGTTCATCTAATAGTCAGCCGCAGCTCGATTATGGCAGGCCGCCCGTTTCCGATGATACCAAGGCCAAGCCCTGGGAGCCGTACTTTAGCACTCCTAACATGGACTTTCTTCAGCCCGACTTTTCCATCCAAGATTCGCAAGCGGCCGAGGTGGGCGAAGCTTTCGCACCTCTCATCAAGCCGTTCGGTCCCCTGGGGCTGAATGAGTTTGGCGACTCGAGCAAGACAGACTATATTCTCAACACCATACACTTTCGCCGAGGTATAGTCGCTGCTCAATACGCCAACGTTAAGAACCGACTGAAGTTGAATGATACTTCAGATACGGAGCCCACAAATCATCCAACGACCTTACCTAGCAATGGATCCATCACCAGAACCAATAAACGCCGATTGGTACAAAATTTCGGAATCACCATTGCCATTATCGTCATCCTGGCTCTTGCTTTCATTGTTAATCTATGGGCACTGGGCTCTAGAATGATGAAACGATTTGTTGGAGTTGAGTCAGACTTCCTTCTTGACCTCAACATGAAGGGAGTTTGTCCTGACGAATTCAACAGCCTCGTCTCATGGCACAATCTTCTCCACGGCGCGGCTGGATCAACCGTACTGCCGCGAGATTCACAGTACATGTCCACTTCTCATACTTGCAAGGAACTGGCGGGTGTTGAATTCCGAATTGGGTGGTTCTACTTTAATGGTTTGAAGGGAAAATATTTCACAATTGGAAGTTTGAATGATCCGAGCTGCGAATACATAGGGAGATACGAAAGATAGACTTTAAATCTCCACAACATCGTGTAAAGCTAGCAGAAAGCCTTCACATAGTCTTAAATGAGAACCGTAGGACATAAGTGCACTTCTACTTAATACAGTCCAAGGTACGCGGAGAATAGTTATCCGTAGAAGAATAATTTGGTAGGCACTTAATGCCCGTTGCCAAGAAGGCCCTCTCAAGACAAGCCACAAATTATCTCGAGGATTATGGTACATAGACACTCTGGGAGTCCGAAGAGCAGAAAACTAAGACCTGACAAGAACATGGCATACACTGATTTTCAAAGTACGACTTGACTATTTGCTAATCGAAAGCTATGCTAGAATTAAGATCGAGGTGCGATTGCAGAATGGTGAAGCCAAGATAGGAAAACATGATTAATATGAAATCCTTGCGCACCACCTCAGCCTGAAATTGCCACGAACTACGAAAACATCTCTGCCGCCATACATATAAAGAAATGTCACAGGACTAGAGGATGGATGTCAAAAGCGGCTGGCTAGGGAGGTCTGGATATACGTATCCCGGACCACTCCTCCCGAGAGCAGCCTCCTAAGCAGCGGATTAGTGCCACTCTGCCGGGCCAATCGCCTCACCAGGGTTGACTATTAGCCATCTGCAGTCTTGAAAGTCGCATGTCCATATATTTGGTTGTCCCACACCACGCTGGGAACTGCGGTAGGCTGTTAGCAAAGATATTGTTACAGTGTGCCCGAGGACACAACTTACTGAAATCCCCTGGTTCGCAAGCCCCGCGAACTGGATAATGATGGAAAAGGCGATTCCCGACAGAAGAGTCGTGGACGTGATGTAGTTGTACTTGTTCCACCGCTCTACATATCGGCGTTTGATCCAATACCCGAATACGAAAGACACTGGCAAGCTTTGCCATACCATGGAAAAGTTGAGGGGCGCCCACAAGATGGGACCTACCACTGTTTTATTGAGTGAATTTGTTAGTCCAACTCAGAAAAAGCTTTTTGAGGCACTGACAGAGAACGAGAGGATGGCAAAGTCGGAAGAAGCTGTTGGGCCAGCATTGTCGGGCCAGGTACCAGGCAACACGCCATAGAGCACCAGCAAGAGTAGCCCAAGGGAGCTTCCTGTATAGTGCGTCGCTTCCAAAGAGCCTTGAGGGACCCAGAGCTCCCCAGACAATGGATGTGGTCCAGCTTTGAGCCACGTTGCCACAGATCCACCCGGGTTGCAGTTTCGGGTCACAGATACCAGGAATGCCCAACGGGATCATTGGCACTGGCTACGGCTTCCTTCCACTCCCTGCAGATGGCGAGAAAAAGCTCACAATATCTGTTGACTTTGACTTGCGCTACTCTCCAGCAGGGTTCCATGGCGTCTTGACCCACTCTCCACCGGATCTATCCACTTCACGGTTGACCGGAAAGCCCTCGATTCTCCACCAATCGTTCTACATGCTAGGGCGCCTTAAATACTTGAAGGATTACGAAAACAATCATGGTGAAGTGACCTCTTCCTAATTGGAACACTTTAACATCTTCTGGCAAAGCGAATTGCCATTCGGCATCCAGAAGGTGGCGAGAGAGACGAAGCAAATTTTCGAGTACATGTGTGACTTTTTCCAGTGTTCTGGAGAGTCATATCGAATCTTCTTTCGGGAAGACCCCTACTACGTTGTCCGCAGTGGTCTCGCGCAGCCCGGAGGCTTCCTAATCTCCTTTGGCCTTTTGTTGAAGCAAGCTGGCTGGGCCCTCGACTCTTTCACCACACTATTCGCTCACGAGATGACGCACAACTTTGCGAATCCTGCCGAGGGTGAGGATATTGCCAATGGTGCGCAGTGGTATGCCGAGGGTTTGGCAGAGTATTACTCCATCTTTGCACGCCACCGACTGGGCTTGCTCGATGAGCACGGCGTCGGGGACGAGATGAACTACCGAGCCCAAGCCTACTACACTAGCCCCTTAGCAACATTGTCGAACGAAGAGGTGAACAAGCTTACATGGAAGACGCAAAACGCCCAGCGTTTGCCGTACTCGCGCGGTCTCGTCTTCTGGGTCCGTCTGGAAGCGCTTGTCCGCGAAACTTCTAGTGGGCATCGCGGCATCGACGAGTTGGTCGTAGAGATAGTGCAACTTGCCAAAACGCGTGGAAAGCCTCCAACCCTTGCCGAGTTCCTCGGTCGGCTGGACCAGGAGCTCGGTCCTGTAGCTCGCCAGGAATATGAGCACCATAACTCCGGCAAGCTGATTATTCCCCCTAAGCGCAGCCTGATACCTGGAGCTGTTGCCGTCCGTATTGACATGGAGCCTTTCGAACTTGGATTTAACGAGGAGAGTTTGTTGCAGGGACCTAGAATCGTGAGAGGTCTGCGATCGGACTCGAGAGCTGCAAACGCTGGAATCCTGGATGGAGATCTCCTTACGTCCTGGGTAGATCTAAATCACTGCAAAGATCACCTCGAGTCTGAGATGAAACTGAGAATAGAGAGAAAGACAGCAGATTCAGAGGTGTCTCAAGAGCTTGACATCACGTTTTGGCCCCGGGCATACACAAAGGTCGAGGGCTGGGAGTGGACTTTGGTTAATGCAAAGGATTGATTTCGTAGAAAATCAAAAACATAATTGAAAGTGAAAGGAATAGGGCCGCTCCATTCTAGTAATACTTTGGTCCCCTAATACTAGGGTTAGGAAATCCCTTAGCCTACCTAGCTCAAGGATTCCTACTATGCATTACTCTGTGACATTATCATTTCCTGTCCAACACATTGTTTATCAAGCTTGAGGCGGTATACTATGCCAAGCTGGGGCATGACTTAGTCATGACTAATGCACTCGATTGAGAATCAGCTGAAAGTTGACTAACACACCTGCACCGAAGGATCCAGGGAGTTCAAGTCACGTATTGGTGATGCCTCCCTCCTATGTATACATGGGGGCAGAAACATGCAGGCGGAGTGGAGGCCTCACGTTTGAGCCTGTTTGAGTAGGGCGCAGTGGCTAGACAAAACCTGCCTTACTAGGCGGATTGCAATAAAGTTATTTTCGAATGCCGAGCCAAATAGGAGGGGATAAAGGATTAGGCCAACCAAATCGGCCCGTTCGCAAGCTCGTGATCCTTTGGCCTCAATCGGGAGATGGCCGTTGCGCGCGGTTCGGCAGATATGGTTGCTTTACGTACTACCGCGTCTTCGATTGCGGAGGGGTGAACAGGCTAATGCTTCTTCAGTGGTTCGGCAGATTTTGACCACCGTAGCTCCTTTCCCCATCGGGCAGGTAATACCTATGCGTGTAAGAGGCTTTTGGATCATGTACAGATGTGGATAGAATGCTGACAATCTCAGGGTTGGTGGTTACTATATTCGGGTGTTTCAGAAAGCTGGGGACTATTACAGACATGCGCCCAACGATGTCACTAGCCGCCTGTATGACATGAAGCAAGACCGAGTAGTTATATAAAGGAGTTTGCTTCGCATGTTCCTGCGAAAAAAAGAGTTGTGATCCTCATCATAAGCATCTCTTTCCCTTATTCGAGGACTTCCCTCACTAGCGACAATGGTCAAGATCAGCCCTTACGTAGCCAAGGCTCTTGCTAGCATCGTCTTACTGACGTGCCATGCGACTGAGGCCAAGTCTGTCTACGCCCACTACATGGTACGTGAGCTGGGATGCTGCCGGATGCACCATTGCAGAAGTCTGACGATATATCCAAGATCGGAACCGTCACTGAAGGTAGCGGCCATGCGGAACTCGACATCGACCAGGCACAAGCTCTCGGCATCGAGGCCTTCGCCATGAACGTCGGCCAGCCAGGCCAGTCCTGGGCGCAGTCCACAGTCAAGCAGCTGTTTGACAAGGCCGACCAGACCGGCTTCAAGCTCTTCTTCAGTCTCGACTTTTACCAGACTGGTGATGTCAATGCGTACACCGAGCTCGTCAGCAATTACATCAACCGTGAGTCCTACCTCAAGGCCGGACCGGATAATCTGCCCGTCATCAGCACCTTCAGCGTCGGCGGTCTCGGCCCTCAGGACTTCCAGACCTGGATACAGAACAACTACAACGGCAAGGTCTACTTTCTCCCCAACGCCGACACATCCTCGGGCTATGACAACCCCGAGACGTGGTTTGGGCAATGGGGCAACGTTGTCGACGGGGTATTTGGCTGGGAGTCTGCGTGGCCCGCCCCGGGTCAGACACCTGCCAACGTCAGCGATGCCGTGGACACGGCCGTTCAAAACGCCGCCCACGCTGCCGGAAAGACATACATGGCCCGTAAGTACCTGGTCCACGTTTAAAGCAACAAAAGGCTCACGTCGTCTATCTAGCTCTTTCCTCTCTGCAGTTCAAGAAGTGCTGCGGCGGAAGTTATTACCGTATCGGAGAAGCTAACCTCCCTCAGCGCATGTCACAGCTTTTGGCTCTTAACCCAGACTTTGTCGAGGTCCTAACATGGGTAAGCTTCCAATTCCCAGTTCTCCATCATGCCGGCCAGCCACTTACTAGATAAAAGAATGACGCTGGTGAGAGCCACTACATTGGCAACAACTGGCCCGAGGGCTTGACCGAGGAAATCTTGGCCTACTCCAACACCGATGTCTGGCCTCATTACGACTGGCAACCTCTTATTGCCTCCTTCATCTCTGCCTACAAGGCTGGCCGTGATGCATCTGGCATGACCCCTCCCGCGGGCTCCGAGGCTGTCGGTGCGATGTGGTACAGGCCTATTCTCAAGGATGCTTCCTGCCAGAAGCCCGACAACTGGCAGTCTGCCATCGACGCCGTTAATTACGGCATCGTCGTTGGGGCTGACGCTTCGGGCCTCACTATCCGCGTGACCAGCGGCGGCGAGGTTATCCGCGAGACAACAGCGCAGCCTGGCCTGAACTACGGTTCTGCCACTGGCGTCAAGCCTGGAAAACAGAGCGTGGAGCTTGTCAAGGACGGCAACAGCATCTTGACTGCCGTCAGTTCGGTCGATGTCGTGGAGACCAACCAGGACTGTTTCTTCAACTTCCACATTGTTGGCCTGAAATGATTTCCTATCTGCGGAGGATAAGTTCACAACCGGGGAGAACACACAAATGTATGGCCACTTAGCCTGAGCGGGTGGTGACCGGGTCTGTAAGGTATCCAACCGTTTGTATCCATGTGTCTGGCCGTTGTTACCCAGTGCACATGTCTACTTAGATTTGTTGGGAGTCTGTATTTCATCATTATAGCCTTGAAGTTAGTTGGGGAAAGGTATTGAACTCTTCACCCTTGTATTTTAGTTCTACTCGCAAAGCACATCTTTCAACCTCTGGCATGCTTGAAATTATCAGATTCTACTTGTCCTTGACTATAAACTCCTAAGAGTCTATGTCTGAAGAGCTTTCGGCACCATGCTCCTACTGACACTCCATGGGCCAAATGAGTTTTTCAATGTCACTAAAAGTGACACTATGCATAATATGTCGTCTTTTTACCTGCTTGGTGTCCGCTTGTGTGAATGGTCTATCGGCACAGTACTGATCAGACTTGGTCCTAATCCTTGAAACAGTACCTGAGTACCCGAACGAACTTCGACTCGTACATTTCCCGCAGTGACATGTTTGAATACAAACGAGTTGTTTCCAGGATTCAATTCTTCGAACAAATGATATTTCCATTTAGAAAAGCAACGGCATCCGGGTTAGTGCCCATTAAATCAACCACGATATTTCCCTCAATGAAGATGTAAAAGCATTTGCGTCATCAAGGCCGAAAAACACAAATGTCTCAATTGCATTGCAACAATATGCAATGATTGTGATCACCTGCCCTTTCCCGACTGCTGTGTTTCTCCACTGCCGCTCCCTCTAAATATTTGACTCCGCCCTCGAAGTGGTCCGTTACATTAGCAATAGCATGACGAAGCCATGCTTGAAATCCATTTGGCGTTGCCAAGATCTTCGTAGTCCCGTGTGCATTTCCTGTCAACCATTTCTCGTCCAAAGTGCCTATGAAGATATCAACAATATCGGGGAAAGAAAGGCTCCTCCAACTGAGTGAGGACCCGCACGCCATACAAAATCCTCGAAAGACTCCAGGAGACGACTCATACTCGCGAAACGTGTCAAATGTACTAAATTCTGGCGTGAGCATGGCTGTCTTAATGGCAAGGAATTGTGCGATGAGAGACGCGGTAAATTTGCGGCACATTGTACACTGGCATGCTGAGGACTGGAAAACCGTTTAGCGTAATACTATTTCAGGGACACAAGGATCAAGCAAGAAAAGACTTACAGGCGGCGGCCATTGGGATTCTCGAGAGAAAGTGACTTGGTATTTTATTGAGCCGCAGGGGCAGCTGCCTGTCAGGGTGGGAATTCCTTCAGTTAATGTAGCCATGACTTATTGGGCAACCGAAGCCAATGACACCTGAGCGTAGATGATAGATGAATTTGGAGCAGCAGATCATTGAACATAGTTTGAAAGACTCTGCATTTATACACTCTTGATTTTGGGAGGTGGACCTAACGGGAGTTTTACGTTGAATGTGTCTTTCATCTGATTCAAAAAATACTTACGCTTGCCAGGAATGGTCGCCTCTTATAAAATCTCTTGGCTCCTGAACGCTCCACTCAGCCCCAGCAACTAGCTCATGCATGCATCTTAAGCAGCGCCATCGGCGTCATCGGCGTCATTGGCGGGTTGCGGCATCACTGGCCGTAGAAGTCCCGGGCAGATGGGAGGGAATGATGCGCCCTGATGGACCGAAGCAAGGGCTATCGTCTATTTGAAATACTCCGTGGTCAGAAGGTCCTATCAAGTTGCCTTCTACAAGAGAGGTTCAGTTGGTCACAAAGGACTTTTAGCTTGTTATTCGAAGGGATAAAGCAAATCTACCGAAGCAGCTCTTTTGACGGCTTCTCCTACCCTACAGTCCCTCCATTATGAAAACATGAGGGTGGCTTAAGTCGCCTGAGATCTCTACCAAAACCACCCAAAGATCACACTTCTCAACCCTCGCGCAAGTTTCCAATATAAACCTACATGTTATGTTAGGTAGTGGACCTAGTGAATGAGGTAGGGTTAAAGGTAGGGAGAAAATCAGGAGAGACGGAGGAGAGTATTGTTTACATCTACCAGAAATAGCACGATTTAATGATAAAATTTAGAACTATATAGTTTTTACCTATTTGGAATCCTACTAAGAATCTTCCTCCAAGTGGCGGTCATTTGAAAGACTCACTCATACAACTGTTTGCTCAGAGTGACAAGAAAAACACAAATGGAAAAGTAGCTGGTTTCTATACAATGTGAAATATATCAATGCGCGCCGTATTATCCGCAACTGCCACCGCCGCCTCCCCATGCATAAGGCCTTCGACATAACACGGCCCTAGATTGATGTTGTAACCATTCATCCCCCGCAAGAGCAAAGGTACCGGACACCCTGCCAAGACGCAAACAGAATCGCCATCCTGCAAGCCCTTGCGGCCCCAGCCGATATATCCCTTGCGAGTCACAAACGCCACATGTTCCCGCATTCCACTGGAGATACCATTCCGATAGTTCATGCTATCCGGAACTAAAGGGTTAAAGTTTCTATCGGACTCAAGACTCCGCGTCAGCTCCTCGATCCTGCTTGTGAGACGCGGAAGAGCCCCGACGAGTTCTTGTGCAACAGCGCTCAAAGGACGTCCTATAAATCTCTCTGCGATTCCATCGGGAGTGGATATGCCAAGTTTTTCCTGGGCCTGTTTGATCTCGGCCGCAGCGCTGGTACTATTGCTAGTGTAAAATGTTGCCAGCATGGCTGGGATCACTGAGAGAAGGGTGGTCTCAACATCTGAGTGACGTTCGAGGAGTTCATTGCTCGCAAACTTCCGGCCGCGGAGAACGAGACGCGCGAGTGCCTGGAGAGCCGGGATGCCGCCTGGGTACGGTTGGCCACCTCGTGCGTTCATGTATTTGAGGCAGAATGACAGCCAGCTCCCGTCGCCAACGTCGCAAAGCTCAATCTGAGCGACAATGTCAAATGATATTCCCTGTGAAATAAGAGACTTGCCGTCTAAAAACCAAGGAACATTCCCATTAATGGGCACATGAATGGATGCCCAACCTTTATCTGCCTGGTCCGTTGCGCTCAGTAGCCAGGTGAAGTTGTACATTTTGGAGATTTGATCCCAGTTAGGGACCCAAGATGGAACAAACAAGTGCGTCGGCAGTGTTTTGTTGTCAACGTCTGTAGGTGGCAGCTCCCAATGCCCAGCGTAAGAGAGTATGCCGAGGCTCTCTTCCACCTCAATGCTTGTAGTTGCAAAATCATAGAAGACGGTTTCCACAGAGGCAGAGTAATTGGGTTGTAGTGATCCAATACCAACAAGTCCTAGGACACTGTAGAGATGATCCCGAGGATCCGTGGCCTGCTGGTCGACAGTGGAAAGAATCCATGCCTTCCACTGTAAATGCTGGTCCCTCCTGGATACTGCATCCTGATCCCCCTTTGTTTCTTCCGAAGGCGTAACTCTCCGACGCTGAATAAATCTATTCCAGCCCATCGAGTACCAACCCACCTTGGTCGACAGAAGTCGCCAAAGCTCAACGCTGACCAAAGGAGGGCAGGGTCTGCCTTGGATGCGACGGAGCCAGTAGTAAACAGCATTAAGCTGGTGGTAATGCATGATATTCTTGCCGCAGAAGACTATAGCGTTATCTTGTAGAAGAATCTCCTGGACGATCCATGCCCTCCTCCAGTACGAACGCTTCATGATAGCACCTGCACTTGTCCAGAACCGATTTAGAAATCCGCCGTCCTCGGCTTGGTCCGACTGCCACAACTCGGGCTGCTCATCGGGCTTGACCCAGGCCATGTCGTCCGTCTTCATCGTCTGAAGAATCTTACTGCCGATTTCTGCAAGGATGGGCATGGCATAGTCGCTATCATTCTCATCCTCGCCCAGATATGTAAACGTGGCCTGCGCACGGCTGTAAATGGCTCCCATGAGCCCAACCTGGACGCTCCTCTCATCGACATTGCTCTGGTCAATACACAGCGCGTCGATCCATATCGGGAGCTGAAACATTTCCGAGTTGGGCACAGCCTGGGCGATGTTGCGGAACCGGGTCAACAGAGCGGCCAGATTCCGCGTCACCTCGATGCGGTGGCCATTGACCATGACAGCATTGCCGATCTCGGAGACGTCCACGCCGTAGCTCCATTCGTACGAGAAGGCGTTGTACCTTGGTCGGGGCTGCTGTGCCAGTGACACAGTGAACATTGCGCAGTGGCAGATGGAGAAGACATCATCGGCATCATACGGCGCGATACGCAAAAGACGGATCTCTTTTTGGCTGATGCTGAGAGGGGCATAAAGTTGGCTCTCTGAGGCTGGGGGAATGGTCATAGGCGTCATTTCGCGATGGACAGCGGCGGTGTGGCTGAATCTGAGATGCACACAAATGTGCGAGCGTTTGCCTTGCGAAATGCTCCGTCTTCGCATTCCTCGCATTCAGACCCGTTCAGTTGGCCGGTCCCACCAGCTTACCCCGACTTACGTACATGTGAGGAGATGGAGAGTGGAGTTTGGCCATGGCCAAGTTATGCGAGCATTTCGCAAAACTCTGGTGCGTTAGGCGTTAGTATCGTGCTTACGTACATCGTCATATTAAATGCGAACCATTTAAGAAGAGGCAGTCGATGAGGTCAGTTTTCATTCACCTCTTAAATGAAATAGAATCAGAAGAGTTTATCGCCACCGCCTGCTATCTATCACGCCCAAGCAAGCCCATCATACGCGTCTACTGTTCACTTTCCTCTCGACTTAAATCTAGCACAAATATTATTGGCCTCTGCGACGTATCTGCTAAAGGAATCCCGACATTTTAGCAGCATGCTCCTCGAAAGCAGCTCTCACCCTCTTGGTGCCATCTTGTCCAGCTCTGTCTTTTTCTCCGTTGTCCTCTTCCATAGTCTTCTCATTGGTGTTACCTTATTCCTTGCTTCTAAGCATTCTGGTCTATATACATCGGGGAGACATGGAACTCATCACCATAGATACAATGCCTGGCAGTTGCTTCTCAAGTTACCTCTTGTGTGCCGAATCCTGCGCTTGTCCCCGACAGTCACGATCTCCTGCACAGATCATCACATGTGTCGACCATACTCTCAACGATCTTCCCAAGAGGCGGGAACCAGCTCTGTTCGGCCAACTGCTTTTGGTCATGGTACAACACACCCTATCAGTAAGGGGAAGGGCGATGAGGATCCATCTGAGTCTGCTGCAAATGCTCATGCCCAAGATTCACCATCATCAAATACCTTCCTAGCCTGCCCTTATTACAAAATGGACCCTGCCAGATATTCAAGGTGCTACAGAAAAGACGAACTCCACCGGTTTGCCGACGTTAAACAGCATCTCATTCGTGCTCACATTCTACGTAAAAATCATTGCACTCGTTGTTGGGCCGAGTTTGACGATTTCGAATCCTATCGTAGTCACACAAGCAGGAGCAACTGCCAGGAAGAACCAGGACCTGAACCTTTACTTCCGATGGAAGTTGAGAGGCTACGTGAGGATACGATGGGGGGCTCTAAGGTGCAAAAATGGTACTGGCTATGGGACAACTTTTTTAGGGGTCATGAGCCACCCCCGTCACCTTTTTTGGACCAAGAGGACGAGGTTGCCCAACGCTACATATCGATAGGTGACAGCATCGAGCATTCAATCACAGACAGGCTATCATCTTGGTTGTCACCCGACCAGCACCGGCAAATGCATAGAACTGTCTTGAGCGATATCTTGACTGGTCTGGGCTTTTCACCAAAGCGATACAGACGCTTCCCAAATTACTACAACGGGCAGTTACCATCGACCAATACTCCTCCCTCTTATGAGTTACCATTGCATTCAACCGCGATTGATGTCTTGCCATCCTTCAGACCCTCCCCGATCGATGAGGTCCGACACGCCTGTCAATGGTCTTTTCCACCCGACCGGATGGGAGCGGCGGGTGTATTCAGATCGGGATCACCTGAATCCACGCCTCCGACTACTGTGGAAGAGCCCATCACACCTGAGAGCACAGACTACTATGCGTCAAGTGATGACGAGGGATCACAATCTAGTACAGCGACCGAGAACGATGACTCACCTGCCAGCTCTCCACAAGATTATCGCCTTGCCTCGCTCCTTCGAGAACAAAATATGGAGAGCTTGATTATGAGGACTGTGGGTGATTTGGTACTTCGTTGGGTGAGACAGTGCTCTCCCGATCATAACGCTAGTCAGAGCACCCAGAGCCCTTCCTGGAATAGTAATGCTGCAGATACTGGGCAACCTACTGAAAGGTCCGGACCAAGCCAAATTGGCCGAAAGCGAGGATTGGGCGGGAATGGGGAAGGGGAAGATGGTGACCGAAACAAACGGCAAAAGTCCATCAATGACGATGTTGCAGAAGACGGTCCAGGGCGTCTGTTTGCCTGCCTCTTTCGCCAGCAATACCCCGAAAGAGCGTGGCCAAAATGCGAAAAGGGTTGGCCATCCCCTCGTCGAGTCAAGTATTCCCGATCCAATCAGACCGGTTTTCAAGTTTCCGAGGCGATGCTAATAGTTGATACTAGGGATCACGTCTATAAGGAGCACAAACTCGCTCTTCATTGTGATAGATGCTACGCTGAGTTCGAGACGGAGACCGAGTTAACTGAACATCGCCGAACCGATCCGCCATGTCCTCTTACGGAACACACGGCAGACGGGCTTAAGCTTGGCTACACAGACGCCATGATGATCCAGTTGAAGTCAAGGCGAGGTGTACAGAAGCTAACACAAGAAGAACGATGGCAGAGGATGCACCGAATTCTATTTCCCAGTGCTCGGGAGATGCCTTCATGTTGTGAGACGCATACTAAATTGATTTAGAGTAAAATCAAGGGCTAACCGTAGGCAGACTACAAGACAGCAGTTCACATGCATCCTGTTTTCCAGGAGCAAATTAATGGTGTGATCCAGCAGATCACTCAAAGCCTTGTGAACAATCCCGAGCTACGGGCTCATCCCCAGCTTTCAGAAGAGAGAGTATCAAATGTAGTTCACCAAGCAGTCTGGCATTTCCTGGGTTCAGTGTTACCCAATATTGCTCCACAGCAGGTGGGGAAAGGGAAAGACGCCTACAGGCCAAGTGCGGCGCCCGGAAGCCCTTTATCTATGTCTCAGCATCGCAGCATCCAGACTCTAGATGCACAGCCTTCTAGAGACAACACAATAGACCCCCAGACATCGGTCACTCACGATCGTAACCTTATTTCTTCTGAATGCAATGTTTCTCGGTCAATCTACTCCTATAATCATGGCAACAGTTTCGAGGGTTTCCAATCCCAAGGCGATGGTTCAGCTCCCGCTCCCACCCTATCATTAGAGGATTTCAACTTACCCCTACTTGATCCCAAAGATTTCGATTTGGAGTCGTTCGTGAACGCATCCTTCAACTTTTAACATTATATGCTTTATGAGGTATGTGTTTTATGCGCTGACCGTGAAATATGGCGCGGACTGAACATCCCAGCAGTAATCGGTAGGCTGAAATAAGTCACCGATGTCATTGTATCGTGCGCTAGCTTCTCATCGATATTACACTATCTTTTGATTTCCCTCGCTTTTCTGATTATCGCTCTCTCCTTATTTCTCTGATTGTTTTTTGTGATATTTACGTTAAGTAGTTATTTAATTACAGTTGAAGGAGGAGGCGCACCGCTCCAAGATGCCCATTTGCCTATTCCAGATATTACCTAAGGAGAGTCACGCTAAAATTAGTAGGTATTTTTTCCGAGACAGTGACAGGTGGCTGGCAATCCCTTTCAAATAACCCACAACCTTTTTGTTGCGTAATGAATCTAAGTCAAAGTGTAATTAGACCTAAAAACCTAATTGTATTTGTCCTAAATCAGCTACGGTACTACCTATCGCGTACATCGCCACCGATCGCGCCCGTACAGCATCAGAGGATGTACCTGAAGTAGGGCTGCTCAAAATCAGTCAGGTCCAAAAACTTCACCCTCTCAGCCTCCTCAGTGATGTCGGTCGTTCCGCTCTCCGCCTGTAGCCGATCCCGTCTCTTATTCTCAAGCACATTTACAAATCGAATTAGGAGCAGAACCACTGCAGATGCACCGTACATGATAGCCACCATCATCTTCCCACTCCTGTACTCGGGAGCCTTATTACTGCGGAAGGTCTGTGGCCCAATCCAGTTGCTGGCTCTATAGGCAAGAATCTGGAGACCATTAACAGTAGCCTTCTTGGTATAGCCCAGGGTGTTATTAGAAATCATCACCATAACAAGCCCCCAGGCGGATCCAGAGACGCTGATCATGTAATATCCAATCAGCAGACCGGCCTTGGCGGTCTGCGGAAGGACAATCATGAGGATGCCGCCGACCATAGGGAAGAGAATGGCTATAAAGGCCATCAAGCTGCGCGACTGGTACTTATCGATAGCCAAGTAAAAATCAGCTTGCCTCCGGTGTCAAAGATACCTGAAGGGGCACCAAGAACGAGGGAGAGTCTGCTGTTGAAGCCAAAAGAACTGATAGTCAGGGCCCCAAATGTGACGATACCGCCGTCAGGGATGTTCATGAGCAGCGAGAAAAGAACATAGAGATATATCCTAGGGTCCTTGAATGCTTCTCGGAACTGGTACCACTTCCAAACACGGTCTCCCATTCCCTGAAAGTTGTCCTTAAGGCGCTGGCCAGCAATCGCTTTCTGCCTAGGCGAAAGAAACCACGCGTTGAGGAGCGAGTCTGGCATATAGAAGTAGCAAATCACCCCAGTAGCTACCGTTAGAAGACCTAAGATGAGGAACAAGATCTTCCACGAGGCGACAGCGGCATCTGTTATCGCTGACAGCACGTATCCCACGCCGGCCGTAACAATAAGCGTTATACCATTACAGCTCAGCCAATAACCGGTTCGTCGACCCTGTTCAGTCTTGCGATACCACATGGATATTATGATAACAAAGGATGGTGTTACTGTTGCCTCGAACACACCCAGGAGGAAGCGGACCGTAAGAAGGCCAGCATAATCAGAGGCAACAGCATGGAGAGTAAGGATAATGCCCCAAAGAACGATGTTGGCCGAGGTGTATTTCCCAATAGGCAGTCGACGGAGGAGGTATGTTGTCGGAAATCTGTTGCCGTTAATATATCTCATTAAGTTACGTATTGGTGATAGGATGGCAGGCGTACTCCCACAGAATATATCCAGCATAAATGATGCTAGACACCCAGCTGTATTGCTGCGACTTTGGATCGAGGCGGGTGTCGTCGCGGATGCCCATGAGTGAGGCGTAATTAAGACTAATCTTGTCAGCGAATTGGATGGCATACACCCAGCACATAAGCGGCATGATGTGCCAATCGATTTTGGAGAGAACTGTTTTCTCTTCTTCGGAAGTAAAGTCGAGGACCTCGCCACCAGTCACAGCCAAAGCAGGGTCGATGTCACGAGACATCACTGGCTTCTCCGTCATGGAGCCCGCCCAATTGCTAAGCGAGGGGCCAATCTCTGGCATGTCGACTCCCGTGGCCTTTGCAGACATGATGTCAACAGGCAACAAGAACGGAACAAGATGAGTGACAAAGGGTGAGTAGACGACTAAGAAGGGTGAGTGAGTGCTGTGATGCTGGCTTTGATGTCGGCTCGAGAGTTGCCTTCGTGTATGTTGTTATAGGTACTTCGGAAGCTAAGCGGATGTCATCTCATGTCTGCATGAGATAGCATACCCCGGGACCCATCCTCAGATTGTGGTGGACCAGAGACTGTCATGCATCATCCCCGGTAAGATTCATGAGCGCAAGCTCGCAATACTTTGCAGCCTGAATCGTGTTAACGTTATCCGGCGGAGCTCCACAAGCTACTCCCTCCACTGCTATCTCTGCCCCTTACTATCTTCTCCCGATGGAGTTCCACCACTAGATCATCTCTGTGAAACGCCAAGCTTGGGTGGAGGTGGAGGTCTTATGTGGAGGGAGTTGCCTCTTGCGGGGGAGATGCTACTCATGGGCACGTCGAACTGACGAGCATTATAAGTACGAAGTAGTCTCCAGCCAATTTGCAAGAGTCTAAACCCTTCGTCCATAACAAGATGACTAATACTACTCTCCCCCCCCGATCCCCAAGTGGATCCCAGCTCCAGTGACAAGGAGAACCGTTAGTAGTATTCGCGGGCAGAATATATCTATTGCTGACTGAATTGATATTAGTGGACTACATTGAACTGTCCAACTTGGACTTGTCAGATTTCGACAACCCTGAGTCAAGGAAGAAACTCGCGCGGCAGTTCTACGATGCTGTCACGCAGGAGGGATTCGTCACTGTCTCTGGCCATGGGATCTCGAAAGAGACCTGGGACCAGCAGATGAACCTCTGCAACGCTACAATGACTATGGATCCCAAAGGAAAGGTTCCATTTGAAGGTAAATTTCTCGTGAGTCGCAACAAGTACAGTTCTGATATCGTCTAGTCACGCCGGAAGAAGACAAACAGGGCATCTATGTGGGTTTCAAGACTGCCGGAGGACTTGGTTTTCACAAAGAAGTGAGTCAATCTCTACTCTACCCCTGCACTACGTAGTCGGACACTCACAGTCTCAAGATCGACTTTTACAACATGCTCTATCAAGACAGCAAAGCAGACAGAAAGCACCCTCCTCACCTAATTCCGTACCTTGATGAAATCCGAAAGGTCATGCTCCACATCCGCGAAAATATCCAGAAGAAGCTATTCATCCTGCTAGCTATGTGTCTCGAGATGCCGGTTGATGAACTCATGGCTACTCATGCGCCTGGACAGTCGAGCTCCGAGTATTATCGTTACGTATGTGAAGCAGAACTTGAATGAAGAAAGACGCTCATAGTTATCAGATGAGCTACGCGCCCTTGACTCCAGAAGCTACGGCCAAGGCGCGTGGTCTCTTCATGCCGGCACACGCGGACTGGGGTACCTTTTCCATCCTCTTTTCGCAGCCAGTCTCTGCCCTACAGATCCTGCATAAGTCCAACGTCTTTATATGGGTTGAGGTATGTATCATAAGTCGCGGCAGATCTAGTGACCAGACTTTTTCTCTGACGCCACGACAGTATAAGCCGTACACTCTCATCGTTAACGTTGGTCAAGCACTAGAGCTACTCACGGGCGGGCTCTTCCCAGCGACAATCCATAGGGTCGTCACGCCTCCTAAGGACCAAGTTGACTGTTTGCGAGTTGGCATTTACTACTTCTCACGCCCGAATGACGACTTCCCTCTAGCTCCGCTCCACAACTCTCCTGTACTCAAGAGACTAGGAAGGAACAAGCCGCTAGACCTAGATGTCACATATAGTACGGTCGAGTTTCTTGAGGCTAAGAAGCATGGGTACCTCAAGCCAGACCTGGATTTTGACAAGCCAAAAGACAAGGACCTTCAAGATGATCCGTTTAGGCAGGGCGATAGGTTCGCAGCGACGGAGAAGGTGCTTGCTTCTATCACCAAAGTCTCGGCTTAGTATTATCTAGATAGAAGATATTTGCTTGAAGTACAATACTTCTTATCATTACGCGATGACACCAAAGGGATTGAGTAAATGTCTAAATTTGAGTAAGGGAAACAGGCGTTGCAGAGCGTTCAATGCCGCATCTCCAGTGATGCCAAGCCATTTACATCACGATGAACCCTTTCATGGCGGCCTATAAATTGCGGCTCGTCTGTAGTCACAGAAGTCTAACTAAATCATGTCCAGGAGCAATATACATCGTCTACAAGATTTTCATTCTTTACACACTTGGCCAAGTGCGAAATAAATATCACTATGTTTCATTACTCTAATAATTCTTTGAAGCTTCAAGTTATTAAGCCAGTTCTCTACGTGTTTGTTAAGTCAATTGAGAGAAATGTCCTCTGCCCGTTACACTAATTGTTTTTTTCTAACCGTCCTAGTTTCTCGAAGAGAATTTGGCCCTTGGTATCATTGCAAGAGTCTATCCACAGAAAGTCTTTTAGATATTCTCGCGCTTCCAGCCATTGCAATTCTTCTATAAGCGGAAGCACTCCCGATCGCCACTTCTCGCGAAGCCATTCTTCATCCGGGTCAAAGAAGGCGAGCGTACCAACCATTAGTACCCACAACATGAGTGGGCGAAGCTGTTGCGTTGACACCTCGATGGCGCAGCACAGAACTTTTAACTGGTTAGTGGCATGGTCATATCTAATTCGACTGTTCATGAGGCTAAACGTCGTAGTAAGAAAGCCGAGCATTTCAATACGTATACATTCTCCGAGGATATCAGACATCGTTCCCTGCAGTTGCCAGAGTCTATACTGCGCCACAAAGATACCAGCATGGACCTCGTATTTCTGTATCCCTTCAGATTGGGCGCTGGCCGCTGTATTGATCGCCATGCCAAGTAATGTAAGTCTAGAAAAATGGGGACCAGTCGTTCGTCAAAAATATGGATAACTAGTTGCCGTGAATAAAGTGACAGACATGCCTGCGGATGGGGCTTGATCAGGTCGTGAACAAGGCCAGCTGGGTCACACTGAGGAAAATAAGGTCCCTTTCCAGAGCTGAGTATCACGCATAGATCAATCCTAAGTAATATAAGCTCAATCGATCAGTGTCGGATATATCTCTTACCGAGAGAGTACAACTAGTATCTGCGGATTACCGCGAAATCTTTCGAAACCTCCCCGCAGATATACCATTCGCCGCAATCCAGTTCCATGGATAGACATAGCGAGATGGTCATTTGTCACCAAAGCCGCAAGGGTCAGAGCAATGACGTTGGCAATCCTGGCGTCTGATAGCGAGGTATTGTCGCTCGAGAGTCTTTCGTTGAGCTGAGAGATGGCTGTTCTAATTCAAAGCACTGTATGCTTTGATCGCCGAGTTTCCAGAAGGAATTCCTGAATAACTGCGCATACGGCAACAATGGCATACACGTAGGCCCTATCTGACAATAGCCAATCACTCCATTGGGATGATTTGAAGTGAGACGGTAAGCGGAACCTGGCGAGGGAAAAGGCACTCATGGCGCCAGGGAAAATCACATCCGTTGAGCTTTCGACTTTCCAACTCCACAAGGCGGGCTAGGAGAATTTTACCAGTAGCGAGCAGTCACAAGGACTCGTTATCAACTTCAACAGCAAAATCGGCCAAGCAGGGGAGGGAAAGTAGCGGCGAATTCACACGTGTTGCGATAGGAAATTGACTCCCCTCCTGCTCATAAGGCGGCAACGACACATTTGGTTCTACAACGGGGTGGTCTCGAAATGTATCATTCTCGGGCAGCCGCGCGGAAGGAATTCGTCGATTCCTACCACGCATGCAGTGGCTCCGAATCTTTCTCCGTTCAGCTTTCTGTGGCTTTCCAGGAGCGTTTGGTGACACGTTTATGAACTCAAAATGCCGATGCGCCCTTGCCATTATGCATCTGTTGCGATGCAATTGTCAGAGCGTCAAGTGACGCTCACAGTCCATACACTTCACCGGTTTCCAGTCAGATGTTTTGCTACTCAGTAAGATAAGAGAGGATAGCCGCAAAACATGGTAGGATCCATGACAGGGGCCTGAGTAAGGCTCTGATTGGCCTTCTACTGCAGGATGGCAGAATAATTTGCCCGATTTTTGGCGCGAAGGAGTCGACTGTTTGCCTCTTTTGGTAAAGTCATGATAGTTGTCATGGACGGGCCCACCCCGACATGAGCTTTGGGACTTTGGCCATAGCCATGGTGTCCCTAAGCAACTGTACAAACACGATTTCTCATCTTACCAACGACAATCCGCCCTACGTTGAATCGAATATGGCTTTTGCAAGTAGCCCATGGATCTTCGTGCTGTGCCACCTTTCTTGGAGCCTGGAATATCTATAAAATGAGCCTATTGCTCCAGCCAATGTGGCTACGGTCATGTTCTAAATCTCATTGATATCTACATACCTTGAATGCAGAAATATTATTATATTTCTACTGATGGCCAAGCATTCTCATAATTGCTGGGCTGGCTCCCAAAGTTTCAACCCTGAAATCGACATCCCTGATCTTAATGGCAAGGTCTGCCTTGTCACAGGTGGAAACTCCAGCTTAGGAGAAGCCACAGTTACAGCTCTCGCCAAGCACAATCCAAAAATGATCTATCTTGCAGCTCGCTCGCGTCCCAGGGGTGAAGCAGCCGTGTCTCGCATTAAAGCCACATCGGCGGCTACTGCGGAAGCAAACATTCAGGTCTTAGATCTGGATCTTGCATCGTTTGCATCTATACAATCCGCCGCAGCCCGTGTCATCGGGGAAACGGATCGGCTTGACCTTCTACAGCTTAATGGAGGCGTTGGTATGGTCCCGGCCGGAACCACTCTCGAGGGCTATGAGCTTCAGTTAGGCACAAATTATATGGGCCACGTGCTGCTTACTCGACTCCTGCTCCCAACAATGCTCAAAACCGCCAGTATCCCAGGGACTGATGTTAGGATCGTTTCTATGTCGTCCATCGGCCATAAGCTCTTCGCTCCAAACAAAGGCATAGTTTTTGGAGAGCTCAAAACCGACATGGAAAGCCACGGATGGACAGAGCTCTATGCACAGTCGATGCTCGCTAAGGCACTATTTGCGTACGAATTTGCAAAGCGCTATCCACGGATCACTGCAACATCTTTGCATCCGGGAACAGTGAAATCTGGCGTATGGAACGGAGACAAGAATGTAAACTGGCTGATTGCAAACGCCATTGTTAAACCCGTTGTTGCTTTGACAGGTGTATCCAACGACGAGGGCGCTAAGACACAGCTCTGGTGCAGCTTCAGCAAGGATGTAAAGAGCGGATGTTACTATGAACCGATTGGGAAAGCGGGGAAGGAAAGCAAGCTCGCTCGAGACGATGCCCTATCGACAGCTCTGTGGGAGCGGACTAATAAGGAGTTGCAAGCATATAGAACCGCTGGCTGGGCGGACGGCAATGATTGATGCCGTAGCCACCTGAGATAATACTGCACTAGACTGCATTTTCTTCGCCTGGTCGAACACTTCCAATTTTCTGTTCCTGTGTAAATTTCAAGTCAAAGGACCCGGGCTTATACTGGCATAGTATCTGCAAGCCACAGAATCAGGCCAGCTAATGTGACATCCTTATTCCTAGCACTACATGGCGAGGTGAGCGATAGAAGGCGCCCGGAAGGCCACCAGAAGTCCCTTGTGAAGGCCTCAACTCTCAATGTCCACTGCCTATATCGTGAAACTATCCCGCAAGATTAGTATTGGTTTAATATTCAATAGAGAAGGAATGATTTGAGAGCAGATTATTGCGCAAAGAACATTGAGCCAAAAATTAATCATACACAAGAAAGTTCTGTTCATTGTTTTTGACAGTCGTGGAAGCTCCCGAGAACCCTAAAGTAACAGCAACAATAAGAAAGAGAGATTTTCAAGAACGTAGCTGGTTGTCGGACACTATCCATCCAACATTTAATCAATCAAGTCGATTTGCTATCTAGAATAGGGGTGTATCTAGTTAACTAATTACACACTTATTTGCCGGGAGAAAACCTCACTCGCTATGCTACCCGCGAGCTGGGACTAAAACCCAGTTGCCAGAAAGCAAGAATACTCTTTGTACTAAAAAATAAAAAATAAAAAAAAGGGTCTCCAAAATACGCATCGTTCAATTCAAAAGAGTTTCACGGGTTCCTCTCACATACACTGATATTGTCAGAATAAATACCGGCGTAACCTGGACGAGTAAAGGCGAGTCAATGCTAGGTTGCTGTAAGCTTGTAATTGACTTGCTAGATGCCATAAGTCTCTCTGATCGGCGAGTTGGCTCTTACCCTTCCAAAATGGCTCAGATCGCGACATCGTTTATTTTGCGACGGACTTTACGCGTCGGACCCATTTATCCGCACGTTCTCGTTGGCCAATCACTTTTGCCCCTGACAGAACCAGATGAACGCGCCGGTCTGGAAGAATGGACGTGGTGATATATAAAGGCACTCAACCCTTGATCAAAAGACGCGAAACAGTAAAGGTATGGCAAGCCAATGCAAAGCAGCCCTAAAGTAAGTGAAGCTTTTTTAACCACTCGTCTTGACGGCAGACAACCATGTCAGCTCCGTAGCAATTGACCCTCGAGTGAGAAATCACACATATAAAAGAAGCAAGCGGTGATAAGAGGCAGTAAAAATAAGTTTTGGCCAATAGTAAAGAATAGAAGTAAGCAACAATTGCCAATAAGGTTGAGGGGGATCCACTTAGCGTACATTTTAATCCTATTATTAGAAGCTCGCTCTCAGCGCATTGCCTGCACGAATACCTCTTCATCCAAAGGTATATTTGATAGCGATTGAAGAAAACTTGTCATGGTTAGCTTAGTAGACAAAAAAAAAGCTCGACACAATAAGTAAGGAACTTGTCTTATAGCTCTAACTAGTCCTTCCTCTACCAATAAAATATACTATCAATAAATGTTTGTTCCGTGACTGATCTGTTGATCTGTTGAACGCATGTTTAGGGTAGGTTAATTCTTGCCAATGTCAGCAATCCTACCTAGGTTCGGCATGTGGAGAATAACTTGGTCTCGCGTTTTCATGTGCATATCGCGTCAGCCCTCATTTCCCTTCGTTGTCCTCCAGGGATCCTCCCGCCGGAAACGCCAAATCGTTGTTCCAGACCAGGCTGCCAATTGTGTCTGGGGGAGTGCAATGTCCTCTCCACTCGTACTCGTAAAGTTGTTCCTGAACTTGACCATATTATGACCTGCACGCATCCTTCCTCACACTTTGCGCCCGACCTGCAAATACACCCACCAGCATTCTCAACCCATCGCGCCGCCTATGAGAATAGGAGACTAGCGTCGGATATCGCCCCCGAAAGAGTTCTCGGGTTTCTGCATACATCATAGATATCATGCGGCGCTGAAGGAATTGAAGCGTGACATGTGCGCAAGCTTGAAACCTGCAGGGGTTAGCCGGCTATTGTGGTCAGATTGGAGAGACTGGGATGTGAGTAACCGAAGTATCATATCCCTAACAGCAAGAAGCGACCGGCGAGAAAAGAGATCATGCAGTTTCTCGACTCTCATCCCTTGGCGCAACGTGTATCCCATCTGTACGCTGAAGAAGCTAGCGATAACTGCGTGTTTGGCGACAAGGGCTGTGTCAAGATGCTTTAAATCACGCCCCTACCTCGACTTCGGGAGCTAAGGCTTGCCAAGACACTTTATGATGAGCATACAAGTCTGGCGTGGTTGGGTAGAATTATTTCGAGAGCGTAGAAATTGGAGGCTGGTGCGCGAGACTTCAGAGCCTTCGAGAGCCAAGCTCCCAAAGGCCGGCAATCTTTGGTCGTGAGCTGGGTGATATGATATACCCGCTGGGCGACATGCATCAACTGGTTTTGAGTCTGACTGGAACACAGTCTCGTTCTCTCGAAAAATTGCTATCCTACAACCTGCACGGCCTGCGCGGCTTTCCTCTTTTAATATACACGCCTTTTTATATCGGCCGTTTTCATCATCTCCGAGCCGTAAATATCGGGTTGAACGATGCAGAAATCCTTGCATTTAGACAGTTGGGCATTCCCCACCATTTTAGAAGGCTACGATGAGAAATACTTGGACTAAACTGACAAACGACTGTTTACATATTTGAAGGCAATCTATAGCTTATGACAGAGAAATAAACCTCGAAATTCCAGCTGCCTTGGCAGCCAACTGTCCAATACGTTGGCCACCAACGATCTCAAAGACGGACACATCCGAGCCAATCTCCTTTGTCATCCAAGTACGCAGTTCCACTGCCACGAGCGAATCGACGCCGTAAGTGTGCATAGGTCGGGCAGGGTCAAGCTCAGCAAGATCGACGCTTAGAACTTTGGAGAGCTTCTCTAGAAGGGCGTCGAGAACAATCTGTTCAGCCTCTGACTGTGTCTTGGCAGCGGAGAGAGCGGACGCGGCCGATCCCTTTCCACATCCTTGCTTCCCGGCGTTTCCCCCATTCTCGCCGTTGTGCAGGATCATGTGGTTGAATCGTGGCTCGTGCTGCCACTCGGGCTGACTGGCGCCCTCTGCAGCAGAGTACTTGGGGAGCCAGAGCCTGGGCACGACTTGAGCCTGCTTGGCAAGTGTTTCCTTGTTGTCCGGGCCAAGGGGGCGGGAGTAGTAGTCGATGGCGGCGATGAGTTCCTCGGCCGACATGTGGGACCATCCAATGTTGAACAAGTATTCCATCAGCAACGGCTTGGTGGCTACCATGCCGGCGTCGTTCATCATGGGAACATTGAGAGCGACGACGTTGTGGCCCTCTGCGGCGAGGGTTCGGGCAAAGACATCTTGGTATGAGTTGCCGGCGGCGTAGTTGCTCTGGCCGGGGTTGCCGATGATGGAGGCCATAGAGGAGAGCATGATGAAGAAATCGAGGGTGCCGTCCTCGTTTCTTGAGG